AATGGCCATTTTTCCAACTTCTTTTTTTTAAGGAATTTACAAGAGGAAAATGTCTTTTACGATATTCTAGAACGAAAAAACGCCTTTCTACGCTCTAAAAACAAGAAGTAGAAAAAGTCGAAAAATTGACATTTTTTCCAAGGGGTTAACACATGGTTTTGCTGCAAAAATGGTCATTTTTCCAACTTTTCTTTTTAGGCAATTTAGAGCAGGAAAATGTCTTTTACGATATTCTAGAACGAAAAAACTCCTTTCTACGCTATAAAAACAAGAAGTTCAAAAAGTCGAAAAATTGACATTGTTGTCAAGGGGTTAACCCATGGTTTTGGTCCAAAAATGGCCATTTTTCCAACTTCTTATTTTTCAAGCAATTTAAAAAAGGAAAATGTCTTTTACGATATTCTAGAACAAAAAAACGCCTTTCTACGCTCTAAAAACAAGAAGTAGGAAAAGTCGAAAAATTGACAATTTTCCCAAGGGTTATCCCATGGTTTTCCTCCAAAAATGGCCATTTTTCAAACTTTTCTTTTTAGCCAATTTAGGCCAGGAAAATGTCTCTTACGATATTCTAGAACGAAAAAACACCTTTCTACCCTATAAAAACAAACAGTGCAAAAAACGGAAAAATTGGCATTTTTCCAAAGGGGTTAACCCATGGTTTTTTTCCAAAAATGGCCATTTTTCCAACTTTTTTTTTTAAGCAATTTAGAAAGGGAAAATGTCTTTTACCATATTCTAGAAAGAATAAACGCCTTTTTACGCTATAAAAACAAGAAGTTCAAAAAGTCGAAAAATTGGCATTTTTCTCAAGGGGTTAACCCATGGTTTTTTTTCGAAAAATGGCCATTTTTTCAACTTTTTGTTTTTAAGCAATTTAGGCCAGGAAAATGTCTTTTACGATATTTCAGAAAGAAAAAACGCCTTTCTAGGCTTTAAAAACAAGAAGCACAAAAAGTCGAAAAAATGCCATTTTTCCAAAGGGGTTAACCCATGGTTTTGACCAAAAAATGGCCATATTTCCAACTTCTTTTTTTTAAGGAATTTACGCCAGGAAAATGTCTGTTACGATATTCTAGACCGAAAAAACGCCTTTCTACGCTCTAAAAACAAGAAGTAGAAAAGGTCGAAAAATTGACATTTTTCCCAAGGGGTTATCCCATGGTTTTGCTCCAAAAATGGCCATTTTTTCAAGTTTTCTTTTTAGTTAATTTAGGCCAGGAAAATGTCTCTTACGATATTCTAGAACGAAAAAACACCTTTTTACGCTATAAAAACAAACGGTGCAAAAAACCGAAAATTTGCATTTTTCCAAAGGGGTTAACCCATGGTTTTGTCGAAAATGGCTATTTTTGCTATTTTTTTGGTAAGGAATTTATTCCAGGAAAATGTCTTTAACGATATTGTAGATAGAAAAAACGCCTTTCTACGCTATAGAAACAAAAAGTTAAAAAAGTCAAAAAAATTGACATTTTTGGGAGGGGGTTAATCCATGGTTTTGGTCCATAAATGGCCATTTTTGCAACTTTTCTTTTTAGGGAATTTAGAGGAGGAAAATGTCTTTTACGATATTCTAGAACGAAAAAATGCCTTTGTACGCTATAAACACAAAAAGTCCAAAAAACCGAAAAATTGACATTTTTCCAAAGGGGTTAACCCATGGTTTTGGTCGAAAAATGGCCAGTCTTCCATTTTTTTAAAGCAATTTAGACCAGGAAAATGGGTTTTTTACGATATTCTAGAAGGAAAAAACGCCTTTCTACGCTATTAAAACAAAAAGTTCGAAAACTCGAAAAATTGATATTTTTCCCATGGGGTTAACCATGGTTTTGGTCCAAAAATGGCCATTTTTCCAACTTTTTTTAAAGATATTTACGCCAGGAAAATGTCTTTTCTGATATTCTAGAACGAAAAGAAGCCTTTTTACACTATAAAAACAGAAAGTCCAAAAAACAGAAAAATTGGCATTTTTCGAAAGGGGTTAACCGATTGTTTTGGTCTAAAAATGGCCATTTTTCCCTCTTTCTTTTTTTAATCAATTTAGACCAGGAAAATGTCTTTTACGATATTCTAGAGCGAAAAAACGCCTTTCTACGTTATAAAAACAAAGAGTCGAAAAAGTCGAAAAATTGGCATTTTTCCAGAAGGGGTTAACCCATGGTTTTGGTCGAAAAATGGCCATTTTTTAACTGTTTCTTTTTAATTAATTTAAAGCAGGAAAATGTCTTTTACTATATTCTTAAAAGAAAAAACGCCTTTCTAGGCTATAAAAATAAGAAGTAGAAAAAGTAAAAAAATTGACATTTTTTTCCAAGGTGTTAACCCATGGTTTTGGTCCAAAAATGGCCATTTGTTGAACTTTTTGTTTAAGCTATGTAGACCAGGAAAATGTAATTTACGATATTCTAGAATGAAAAAACGCCTTTCTACGCTATAAAAACAAAAAGTTCAACAAGTCGAAAAGTTGACATTTTTCCCATGGGGTTAACCCATGGTTTTGGTCCAAAAATGGCCATTTTTCCAACTTTTTTTTTTTAGGATATTTAGGCCAGGAAAATGTCTTTTGCGATATTCTTGAACGAAAAAACGCCTTTCTACGCTATAAAAAGAAAAAGTCCAGAAAACTGAAAAATTGGCATTTCTCCAAAGGGGTTAACTCATTGTTTTGGTCCAAAAATGGCCATTTTTCCAACTTTTTTTTTTTTAAGCAATTTAGACCAGGATAATGTCTTTTACGATATTCTAGAGCGAAAAAACGCCTTTCTACGCTATAAAAAAGAAGAAGTTCAGAAAGTCGAAAAATGGCCATTTTTCCAACTTTTTTTTTTCGGCAATTTAGACCAGGAAAATGTCTTTTGCGATATTCTAGAAAGAAAAAATGCCTTTCTACGCTATAAAAACAAGAAGTTGCATTGTTTTGGTCGAAAAATGGCCAGTTTTGCAATTTTTTTTTTTTTGTAGTCAATTTAGGCCAGGAAAAAGTCTTTTACGATATTCTAGAACGAAAAAACGCCTTTCTAGTCTATAAAAACAAAAAGTTTAAAAAGTCGAAAAATGGACATTTTTCCGGACTGGTTTACCCATGGGTTTGGTCAAAAAATGGCCAGTTTTCCAACTTTTTCTTTTTAAGCAATTTAGGCCAGGAAAATGTCTTTTACGATATTTTAGAACGATAAAACGCCTTTCTAGGGTATAAAAACAAGAAGTTGAAAAGTCGAAAAACTGACATTTTTCCCAAGTGGTTAACCCATGGTAGTGGTCCAAAAACGGTTATTTTTCCAGTTATTTTTTAGGCAATTTAGGCCAGGAAAATGTCTTCTACGATATTCTTGAACGAAAAAACCTCTTTCTAGACTATAAAAACAAGAGCTTCAAAAACTCGAAAAATTGACATTTTTCCTAAGGGGTTAACCCATGGTTTTGGTCCAAAAGTGCCATTTTTCCAACTTTTTTTTTTTAGGCAATTAAGACCATGAAAATGTCTTTTAGGATATTCTAGAACAAAAAAAAAACGCCTGTTGACGCTATAAAAACAAAAAGTTCAAAAACTCGAAATATTGACATTTTTCCCAAGGGGTTAACCCATCGTTTTGGTGCAAAATTGGCCATTTTCCAACTTTTTTTTTAAGCAATGTAGGCCAGGAAAATGTCTTTTACGATATTCTAGAACTGAAAAGAGCCTTTCTACGCTACAAAAACAAAAAGTCGAAAAAACTGAAAAATTGGCATTTTTCTTAAGGGGTTAACCCATGGTTTTGGTCCAAAAATGGAAAGTTTTCCAACTTTTTTTTTCAGGCAATTTAGACCGGGAAAATGTCTTTCACGATATTCTAGAACAAAAAAAACGCCTTTCTACGCTGTAAAATCAAAAAGTCCGAATAACCAAGAAATTGGCATTTTTCAAAAGGGGTTAACGCATGGTTTTGGTCGTAAAATGGCCATTTTTTCAACTTTTTCTTTTTAAGCAATTTAGGCCAGGAAAATGTCTTTAACGATATTCTAAAAAGAAAAAACGCCTTTCTACGCTATAAAAACAAAAAGTACAAAAAGTTTAAAAATTGACATTTTTCTTAAGGGGTTAACCCATGGTTTTGGTCCAAAAATGGCTATTTTTCCAACTTTTGTTTTTAGCCAATTTAGACCAGGAAAATGTCTTTTACGATATTCTAGAACGAAAAAACGCCTTTCTACGCTATAAAAACACGAAGTTCAAAAAGTCGAAAAATTGGCATTTTTCCCAAGGGGTTAACCTATGGTTTTGGTCCAAAAATGGCCATTTTTCCAACTTTTTTTTAGGCAATTTAGACCAGGAAAATGTCTTTTACGATATTCTAGAACAAAAGAAAACGGCTTTTCTACGCTATAAAAACAAAAAGTCCAAAAAACCGAAAAATTGGCAGTTTTCCAAAGGGGTTAACTCATGGTTTAGGGTTAGGGTTAGGGTTTACTTTCTTGGGGATGACCCCCAAGGGAGATATTCGCAGGTTAGGCAGTGGGGGCTCTGCAAAAGGTCCCACTATCCGACCTTCTTCGATCTCTTTAGTTAACTTTTGATCAACCCGATCTGGGTGCTCAGATGCTGACACAAGATTATTGGAAAAACTGCTCTCTAAGGGGCTATAATAATGTAAACGAACTCATGTAAAAAGCCCCTTAACAAATGATTACACAACCTTTCTGGGTAACCTGATAAGTATTTTGCTAAACTCTTAGCTTTGACCGGAGTTGGGAGTGCTTCGGATTGAAGGGGTGCGGTTGAGAGTGCCCTGGCTGGTAAAAGATGTTGTTTTGGGCCCCGCATTTTCCAGCTGGCTGTTTGGCGGCTTGTTGGCATTTGGAAATTGGGTGGCTGTTTCCACACCGGAAACACTGGTGCTTGTAAGAGCATCCTGGACATGTAATCCCCCTGTGAAACTTCCAACAAAATCCCTTTGGGATAAATGATCCCTGTTGTTTACTTTTTCCCGGCTGGGTACTAAGTTTGGGACGAAAGGAATGAGACCTCAGCCATAGCTCAGAGTGAATTTGGTCCCAAGGGGCCCCCCTGTCTGCCTAATGCTACGGAAATTCTCATCATAGAACCTCCAATTGGCTCCCTGAGAGGCTAACTCTCGGATGACAGACCCATACTTCATGAGGGCCGGGGTGTCGTAAGGGGCTTTTTCTGAATAGATGGCGACAAACACCTCAAAGGCTGAGACCCACTGCTCAATTGATTGAACCGTCTGCCGCTTAGGATTAGGTGCTAAAACTAAAGCTGGCTTGCCGCCATCACCTTTCTCTACCCTGAAGGTATAATGATCATCTGAGTGAGTAAAGCTATTATTCAACAGTAGTGCAAAGTCCACATACTCGTTGGACCATATTTGTTTTTTAAACTTATCGGGTACACGATGGGTTAGTGGCACTGCAGTTGACAAAAAAGTGTTCTTACTTTGAGGTGCTGCACCAGGTAGTAAGGAGCTTGTCACTTGCTGCACTGCATTGTTGACGGTGTTGAGGACCGACTGGTCAGCATTGGGAGTGGTGGGGTTTGCTTCTACAACGCTTGAACCTCTGTTCACCACCTCTGCACTTGAAATTGAAATGGGATCGGGAACAAACTGCACCTCCGGGACTGCTGCCGCTGCTGCAGATGTTGAAGGATGGGCGACTGGGAATGCCGTTGCTGCTGCCGTTGTTGCAGGTTGCAGGGGCTGTGCAACAGTCAACAGTGCTTCTGATACTGCTGCTGAGATGGAATTTGTCAGCACTGCCAATACTTCTGCTGAAAGGGTAAGCTGTGGGGTTGCCCGGGCAGCATTTGAAGGTTCCTGCAACTGGACTGGCTGAAGCCGTGATGGATGTGGCTGCACCCCCGAGTCTGTAGTGGCACTGCTGTCAGCGGCACGACGTCGTTTGTTAACTCTCTCTGTGTAGTTTTGTCCTCTCTTGGGAGGCATTCTGGTAACTACAAAAACTCCAACATTAATCTGGTTGTCGAGAATTACAAACAAAAGTAAAGCTCTACTAAGAGCTTCGAAGCCCCCACTGGCCACCCGTGAGACAAAAGAAGAAACAGCCACTTATTGGAGCCCTCAGTTAAACAATAAATAAAATAAAAAACCAGAGAAGATGACAGTATCAAACAATCTGGCACAAATAACTGTACTATAACACCACAAGGTAGTTATAGGCAAACAAAAAGATGCAACAGCACAAAATGGTACATGAATGGCACAGAGCAATAACACTCCCGCCGAATAAGTATCATGACCGATGCTGACAAACGCCAGAACTGTACATCCCTCTTATACACAACTAGAGTGGTGACAATATGGCCACTCAAAAAGAACTTAACTGGGGCAAACCAAATAATATAAATTATTGCATCGTGGCTGACAAAAAATAGCTGTATCAGTGAGCAACATAACTCGCTGACTTACCATATATATTAACCGAATTGAAACAAAACTTGAAATGAAAAAACAAAGGAAACTCGTTCACTTCGGAAAGTGCTCTCAAAATGGCTCCACAAATGCTTAGATGAAGGGCCTATCTTCCCATGGCGATGTAAAGTATTCCAACGAGGGCGCTCAACATTAGTCGTTGGCTACAGGTAACCCCGATTCTGCCAACTCTCACAACTGTATCTGCCGACGAGCCGCCCCGTGGAATGTTTCCCTAAGGGGACTATTGGGATCGGCCATGTTGTTTATGCTGAAAGATTCTTTTTCTTATCCGTCTAAGACATGACGTGGCTCCGTACAACTTAAAATTCGCAATACCCGGTTTATACGTACTAGCTCAGGTAAAGCGACCGCAGAGAGTGAGATTAACTCAGGGTAGCTTTCATTATCCCGTATAAAATCGCCTGATCTCAGCTCAAGGTCAGTAAAATGGGGGGCGGTGCTGCGAATGTTTCCGAGATCGTACCGGTTTGTTTTATCCACTCTACGCCGCCCCATCACGAGAAATACTACCAGACAGGCTGAACACAATTCTAAGTGAAGCCTTCCAAGAGATTTTTGGATCGCCAATCCGGCGATCTAAGCACCAACAAAATGAATAAGCACACGCGGTTTCTGGTTCACCAGCCGCCATGTGACTCGAACAACAGGATTTGTTATAGCGATTAACTGCGCTAAAAACAAGTAAACAGAGCCTACTTAACTGATCGTTGAAATCTTCTCCTCCCTTCAAGGTCCTTCTCAAATGGGATAAAGGGGGTTTCTTTCTAATGTTCTTCAGTCTTCAGAGAAGAAAAATGTTTGCCCTGCACCGAAGCTGAACTGAAAGAGGCCTGAAATCACATGTTCGGACGTTTAAGTATCTACTAATGTAAGTCCCGGATGTACCCATCCGGGATACTAAAAACGCCACGCAGGCTGCATAAAATAATTTATTCCCCTTGGTAATAAATGTCATTTTTCCAAAGGGGTTAACCCATGGTTTTGGTCGAAAAATGGCCATTTTTTAAAATTATTCTTTTTGAGCAATTTAGGGCAGGAAAATGTGTTTTACGATATTCTAGAAAAAAAAAGCCTTTCTAGGCTATAAAATCAGGAAGTTCGAAAAGTTGGAAGAATTGACATTTTTCCCGAGGGTTTTGGTCCAAAAATGTCCTTTTTTCGAACTTTTTTTTTTTGGCAGTTAAGACCAGGAAAATGTGTTTTACGATATTCTAGAACGAAAAAACGCCTTTCCACGCTATAAAAACAAAAAGTACAAAAAGTTTAAAAATTGACGTTTTTCCCAAAGGGTTAACCCATGGTTTTGGTCCAAAAATGGCTATTTTTCCAACTTTTGTTTTTAGCCAATTTAGACCAGGAAAATGTCTTTTACGATATTCTAGAACGAAAAAACGCCTTTCTACGCTATAAAAACACGAAGTTCAAAAAGTCGAAAAATTGGCATTTTTCCCAAGGGGTTAACCTATGGTTTTGGTCCAAAAATGGCCATTTTTCCAACTTTGTTTTAGGCAATTTAGACCAGGAAAATGTCTTTTACGATATTCTAGAACAAAAGAAAACGGCTTCTACGCTATAAAAACAAAAAGTCCAAAAAACCGAAAAATTGGCATTTTTCCAAAGGGGTTAACCCATGGTTTTGGTCGAAAAATGGCCATTTTTTTAAATTTTTCTTTTTGAGCAATTTAGGGCAGGAAAATGTGTTTTACGATATTCTAGAAAGAAAAAAAGCCTCTCTAGGCTATAAAATCAAGAAGTTCGAAAAGTTGGAAGAATTGACATTTTTCCCGAGGGCTTGGTCCAAAAATGTCCTTTTTTCGAACTTTTTTTTTTGGCAATTAAGACCAGGAAAATGTGTTTTACGATATTCTAGAACGAAAAAACGCCTTTCCACGCTATAAAAACAAAAAGTTTAAAAACTCCAAAAATTGACATTTTTCCCAAGAGGTTAACCCATGGTTTTGGTCCAAAAATGGCCATTTTTCCATTTTTTTTTTTAGGCAATTTAGGGCAGGAAAATTTCCTTTACGATATTCTAAAACGAAAACACGCCTTTCTACGCTATAAAAACAAAAAGTCGAAAAAACTGAAAAATTGCCATTTTTCCAAATGGGTTAACCCATGGTTTTGGTAAAAAAAATGGCCATTTATAACATAGCGCGCGTGCTTGCCCTATATAAGTCCTATTGAGCCGCTATGAACAAAATCTTTATTTACGCACGCCCGTGCGTAAATAAGATGACGTGAGCATTTTTTTCTTACCTGGCTGCAAAGTTGTCGTCTTTTAGTGCACTTTTCGTTCTCTTTAAAATATGGAAGAAACCAGCGAAGAACTGCCCAATTTTTCTATCGGTATTGACCTTTTAGGTCCTGATCCAACAAGCAGCAAAAATAAAGTCGAATGAAAAAAAAAACTTGCAAGTTGCGCGTTTCGCAAATTTGTCGAAGACTAGCCGCAGCAAATTTTGGCCTAAAGACATTCACTGGGAACAGAACAGACACCAACTGGCCATCAACAAGGCAAAATTTCCGTTTTTATTGTTGTTTTTAAATTTGTTATGCACTTTGTTATCTCCGGACAATCCGACTGAAGCAGGAAAATTTCTCTCGCAATAACAACACAAATTACACAAGAAGACATAGATATATTACTGACAAAAGCAACTGCTGCCACGTCCTCTCAAGAAGCCGTAATGACCAGCCAATGTTCGTAAATGAATATAAGTTCAAAGAAGGATGACAGTCGTCTTCGCTAAAAACATGCTTTCTGGATTTCGCCGAGCAAAACGTAAACATCTTTTCAGCAAATCCAAACCATACTCCACGACTTCTTACGAAAATGTTAGCAGTTCAACTTTAGGTGAACTTTAAGACTCTTTTACCTTTGTTTCTGCTTAGTTTCCATTGATCGTTAACGAATAAAAAAGCAAATTTTCTTTCTCACTTTTACAAAAAGAATATTATTTTCATTCAAACTAGACGATTGTGGCGTGTTCGTAATCAGCCAATAGAACCGTTTGTTATTGTGTCGCGCGTTACGAGAATTTTGCAGTTAATCAAAAAGCGAGCACTGATTTTTGTCAGCTATGTTATAAAAGAATTTGCTCATGCTTTTAGCTGTGCGTATATCGAGTTATGGATGCACTTGGGAAGTTTGGAGAGCACTCAAGAAGCTAGAGTTGCACTCGGCTATCGCCTCGTGCAACTCTTACGCATCTTTCGTGCTCTCCAAACTTCCCGCGTGCATCCATAACTCGATATACGCACGCTAAGCATGAACAAATTCTTAATTTTCCATCTTTTTCATTTTTAAGCAATTTAGGCCAGGAAAATGTCTTTTACGATATTCTAGAACGAAAAAACGCCTTTCTAGGCTATAAAAACAAGAAGTACAAAAAGTCGAAAAATTGACATTTTTCCCAAGGGGTTAACCCATGGTTTTGGTCCAAAAATGGCCTTTTTTGCAACTTTTTTTTTTAAAGCAATTTAGACCAGGAAAATGTCTTTTACGATATTCTAGAACGAAAAAACGCCTTTCTACGCTATAAAAACAAAAAGTTCAAAAAGTCGAAAAATTGAAATTTTTCCCAAGGGGTTAACCCATGGTTTTGGTCGAAAATGGCCAGTTTTCCATTTTTTTTTTAAGCAATTTAGACCAGGAAAATGTCTTTTACGATATTCTAGAACGAAAAAACGCCTTTCTACGCTATTAAAACAAAAAGTTCAAAAACTCGAAAAATTGATATTTTTCCCAAGGGGTTATCCCATGGTTTTGGTCTAAAAATGGCCATTTTTCCAACTTTTTTTAAAGATATTTACGCCAGGAAAATGTCTTTTGTGATATTCTAGAACGAAAAAAGCCTTTCTACACTATAAAAACAAAAAGTCCAAAAAACTGAAAAATTGGCATTTTTCCAAAGGGGTTAACCCATTGTTTTGGTCCAAAAATGGCCGTTTTTCCAACTTTTTTTTTTTTAGGCAATTTAGGCCAGGAAAATGTATTTTACGATATTTTAGAACGAATAAACGCCTTTTTACGCCAAAAAAACAGAAGTTTAAAAAGTCGAAAAATTGACATTTTTCCAAAGGGGTTAACCGACGGATCTGGCCCAAAAATGGCCATTTTTTTAACTTTTTTTTTTTAGGCTGTTTTGGCCAGGAAAATGTCTTTTACGATATTCTTGAACGAAAAAACTCCTTTCTAGGCTATAAAAACAAGATGTTGAAAAAGTCGAATAATTGGCATTTTTCCAAAGGGGTTAACCCATAGGTCCAAAAAGGCTTTTTTGACTACAGAGATATCGAGTTTTAAAGGTGGCCATTTTTGGATTTTGTAAAAATACGAAATTTTTGTGCCTTCTTGATTTTTCTACAAAATAAACGAAGAAAAAGTGTAGACTTTGGAGATACCGTTTTTACTACTTCAACGGTTTTTGTTTCCACCTACTTTTAATGTTTGCTTTTTTTTCAGTTACATTTTCACGTGTTATTATAGTATCATATTGCGCGCTATTCTCTATTTCAAATTGTAGCGCCTTAACGTAATCTCTTCATTATATGTAGGACCCTTTAGAAGGATAGCCGTGCCTAGCGAAATATTGGTAAAAAATACATATATATTTCCGACTGTAAAATCAGCCCTTCTTCTTTTGTTTTATAAAGTAATCAAGTTTTCGGCCAAAATCGTGGGTTAACTCCTTTGGAAAAAGTGACTTTTACGACCATAGTTGATGCAAATTTTTATATTCTGGTAAAGCTTTTTTTCTATCTTGAAGACAACGTAACATAATTTTATATTATTTTAAAGCGAAAAACGAACCATAAAAAATTCAAAGTTCTAGCCAAAATTATAGGTTAACCCCTCTGGCAAAAAGCACTTTGGCGACTATTTATGGGGCACATTTTTATAGGCTAGATCATGGGCTTTTTTTCTGTCTGAAAAACAACCTCGCTTTCTTTTATAGCATGATCAAGCGAAAAATGAACCATAAACAATATTAAATTTTTGGCCAAAATCATGGATGAAAAAAGCCAATTTCGCGCCCATATATGATGTGTCATAGTCTAGAAAAGCTATATATCATTTTCAAGCCAAAAACGAACTGAACAAAAATGTCAAATTTTTGGCCAAAATCATGAGTTGATTACCCCTTTGAAAGAAGCCCCTTTCGCGACAGTAGATGATATACATTTTCATAGTCTAAAAAGCATTTTTTCTATCTCGAACACAACATAACATTATTTTATGTCATTTTTAAGTTAAAAACGAACCATTAAAAAAATTGCAAATTTTTGGGCAAAATCATGGGTTAACCACTTTGTTATTTTCATATTCATAAAGTTCTTTTAAGACCGATCATTTAAGAAATTAATTTAATCGATTTTGGTACGCGACAAAATAGTCAATTTTCTTTTTGTTCATTTTCATTTCAGTCCTCAATAAGGTCAAAAAGTAATGTCTAATTGCTCGAGGAAAAAGATCCTTAAGCATTCTGACAGTCGTAGTAAAATAAGGTCATCGTAAAAATGGCAGGTTCTCAATGTTGCAGGTCCAAGGACGTTATCTAGATAATCACACTGAAAATGCCAAGTGCAGAGTACTGTCAATGTAGAGTTATCAGTTAGTGCTTCTATATAGCATTACGTATGTGTGGCACTCGGTCTTTTAGCGTTTTGAGGTATCGTGAAACTTGTTGACGTTTGAGCCACATCATTTGCAAATGGTAGATATTAGTCTCCATTCTTTCTTAGTTTTTCCCTTTAAATGTATTAATCAAGCTGTTGGCTACAACGAATCTCATTGCACTGTATGTGCGATTATCATCTTAGCCATTTTTCAGTTCGCACTGAACATTTTTTCTGTTGAACAAAGAGGAATTGAAAAAAAAAACATTTTTATTATCCGTGCAAGCTGTCTGTAACCTGCTAGCGCTTAACTTAACCTTTTTCCTGGGTAAGTATTTTAAAAACCTTTTTTTGACCAATCTAAAAATATTATTTCATTTTTTACCTTTAACTTTATGAAGCTCGCACTTGTAATAGAAAAAACCTCCACTTTGTTGGGTCAAGGATTTCGAAGGCTGTTTTATGGCACAGTATATGGTGTGAGCCTAGCTTACTTACACTATCATCCGTCTTTTTCATGAAAGCTTGGAACAACAACAGCAATAACCTCATGGTCATGGACTCTTCAGTAAACGAGTGGTAAATGTATTCTGAACATGAGTATTGTTCTACCAGTTCCAAATTCCTAAAATTATCATTTTTATAGAATTACTACGCCTTTGTATGGTTATATATTCAGCAACTTTGCCACGTGGGAAAGGCGTAGATTATTTAAATATTTTTTTCAGTCCAAGAAAGTTTATCAAGAAATGACCAAACAAAGTGTGTCAGTTATATCCTAGGAAAATATGTAGACGAGCTAAGTTTAATATTTCAGAGCTTATAATAAGAAAGATATACTGTTTCAAGCTTTCAGCAATTCAACATATATACCATATCAGCTTTGCCGGTTAGTAAAATTTCCACAGTCAAGTATAGCATCTCAAATACTAAATTATTACTTTCGTGACGACCAATTGTCAACTTTTTTACCATTTTTTTTTCAGGTGACTTGCAATTTTTTTAACATTAAAATGTGGCTAAAAGTGGTGCTCCACTGACTAACCTGTAATCACGCGAAAATGGCCAGAACTTGTAAACGATAACTTCCATGTTGTTCAAAGGAAATTTTATGTCTCCTTCAACAAAGCAATCGAGAACAGGTAAAGACTAATGGCAAAGTATTGTTTTAGTTTCTAAATAACAGTTTTTTTTCTTTATCTACAGGACAAGTTATCTGGCGATCAAATTCAAGGTTGGATTATATGATGTTTGGCATGTATAAATAAACGCGTTTGAATACCCTTTGAATTTAATTTCCATTTGCTCTGACACTCTTTCCTCTAAATGACATGTTTTCTTTGTGTGTGCGTGTGTTAACATTGCTCGTTTACTAAAAAACCTTACTTCTTCAAGTGACACTAGTGCCGAACAAAAGCATTGAAAGTAAAATTAGTTTGAAATATTTGCATCTGTAGAATCCCTTATCAATGACCGAGACATTTTCATTTTTCACAAATTGATGAACGTGAGGGCAAACCGAAAATGGAGGGTTAATTTTTTCCGTTTATCGTGACTATAACAACAGAACACTTAACATATTTTGAGTTTCGTAACACTTTTCCTCTCCTAGAATACCGTGATGCCTTTTATTTGTTCGATCAAGATGAAAATGGTTATATTACTTCAAAGGAGCTACATGACATCATGAGAACTCTGGGTTTTAACGTGAACGAACAAGAATTACAACAGATCATTTTGAATGTTGATTACGACAGTAAGTCCACTCCCTCCCGATGAGTTATTCCCAGGGTAGAGACGGGTGGAAATCTATTTAAAAGTAACTGTTACACTGAGTTAGAATCCATTTTTTCAACTTAAATTATTCAAACTGGGCAGGCCTTGAGGACCGCACTTACTTTGTAGATGTTAGTGTAGCAAGAAAAGATTGTTAGGAACTTGAACCCTGGCGCTTATTAGTGTGCCATGAAAATGGCAAAACACCACCACCTCCAACAACAACAACAATGAATTTCTCTACTCAGATTTTCGGGGTAAGGATATTATCTACTCTAAGAACCCGCTTTGTAAAGGTTGTCGCCCAACCCGTCTTGGCGGCATTAACCTATCTAAAGTGACTCAAAGTCTCTTTGACTTTATAATGTCGGCTCACACCGAACCAAAGGAGTTTTTGTTTTTCAGATGACGGGGTGTTAAATTTTGAGGAATATATTCAACTTATGGAACAACAGAAAACTGTCGATGAAAGAGAAGATGATATCGTACAAGCTTTTCGTGTTTTTGATTCTGAGAGCAACGGATACATAGAATCAGCTGACTTAAGAGAATTGTTGGAAAATATGCATTGGGACATTTCTGCCGAGGAGCTGAAAGATCTGATTATAAGCTCTAACCTTCAGCAAGACCGCAAAATTGGCATAGAAGGTAGGATAAATAGTTCCGTATTCTGCACTTTTGGTTTTATTGTTAACCGATATATGTCATTTTGATAAGACAGATAGAACCTTTAAGCCGTTTACCAAGTTCTCTACTTGATAGTACTTGGTTGTGATCCAAAACGGCAATCAAGATCAGCATAATGGTAAAGTTTTAAGTCATATAAGGCGCATTTTGCTTATTTTTGTTTTCATGGTTACGCTTGTACTTTCAGAATTCGCGTGGCTTGTGGATCCGGAGGGACTGCCATCTCAAGACAAAAAAAGAAACCATGAAGATTATTGACCGGAACGCTCGCTGATCAATAAAGAAAAAATTGTTGTTTCTCAGAAATAATCAAACCGATAACGAGTGAGAGACAAACAAGTAACGGGAGGACGCTAACACAAAGAGATGCAGGTTAAATACCAGCGATAAATAAGGATACATTTATCACAGAAATCTAATTTCGATTCTGAATTACTTTGATTCAGTTGTAGTATTATGTTAATATGTATCCTGACGGCCCAGAATTTAAGGACCGTTTTGGAGGTATTATAATTTCAGTCCAAGATGGCGAATCTAAGATAGACCTAATGACGTCATTAAAGTCATTACGTCAACTTACATTAGCTCACATTCACTGCTGTAATGCTCCTAACTAAGTAAGGCTAATGTATTGTTATTTACCTGTACTTTGCTTCTGTAAGTGCAGTGTGAATAAAAACACTGAATAAGTCAACTATAGCAAACAATCACCATGAGTTCAACCAAAACTAACGCATATGCGATCACTGCTGCAGGGGGATGTGATATTTTTCTAGACTCAAAGACTCTCAGTGTTTTTTAGCATTAAAATACGTTTTGGAAGAATGAAATGTAAATACAAACGTTTAAGCTCAACTAACTCATGTCAGCGACGACGACAGGTTGTTTTGTCCAAATGTCGAGTGGATCAAGTGCCCATCAAGTGTCGCTCAAACAACAATCCTGTTACGTATATGACACATGTTCTATAGGCTCTTTTGGAATTAAATTATAGCCTCAAAGAAAAAAAAAACAAAATTAAGGATCCTTGTGTTGTTCAAACGCCGTAGTTTGGCTTAATACAGATCATTATGTTAATAAATTATGTATCATTAATTAAAAAGCTTAATACGATCCAAAAACTACCGAAGTCAGGCATCAAAATGATAAATTTAACGTTTTATTATTTGTTTTATTATTCCTGACTTCTTTTGCATGCTGCGCTGCGCATCTCTTTGCGTTGCTAAGAGTTTCTCCCATCCTTTCATCGATTTTTTTTCCCTTTGTTTGATCGCGTGACGGACCGCACACGTGAATATTTTTTATGATAATAAAGAACTACAGTTGTCTGAGGTCATTTACTTATGACCACAGGTAAAGTTTCATTTGAAATTCTGTCACTTATTCCTTACAGAACATCTTAATTCAGAAAGACTCAAGCAGGTAACACTATTTTGCAAACTTTGACTGCTATATTAGTGTAAATAGTTTGCCCGGGGGGACATTTGTTAACTGGCACCCAACAACACTCTGACAGACCAAGGCAAGAAGCCAAGGTCTTCCTATTTACATAATAGTCAACTGCTCATTTAAAAGCCACCATTTTCGTGTGTTGTAGTTTGATCGATTACAAAGGAGCAGTTATTCAAGGTAAGGGCAGATTTAGTGTACAAAAAGACCGGGCCAGGTTCCTGAATGGTCGATTAGTACTAATCCAACCTATTATTGTATTTACCTTCTAATGACTGTTATTGTAACAGAATTAATAGCTCGGAGCTCCAGCTGCATGTGCTTTCGACAAAAAAAAACTTTGCTAAAAATTTGCGTTATTTCTGAGTTAAGCTTGACCATCTTTCTAAGACCCGGGCCCACGACGTCTGGCCTGTTGTTGGGCTTACGGTATCAGAAGAAACGAAACAAAACAAGCTTGACTGCGATCGTGTTTTTCTGTTCCGTTTTTATTCTGTCAGTCTTTAGGATTTTTTTAATCTGAAATCACTCACCTACGCTCCCTGTCAAAAGCTCAAGCCTTCGGTCTCTTTACAGGGCATAATTCAGAACAAGGCCTTTCAATCTGTCACGTTCCACTTCGCCGATCTGTTTCTATTTTAAAAATTTTGGACTGACACATTCTTTATGCCAATTTGTTTCCAAGCAAAGCTCTGTGAATAGAGGTTATGCGGGCTTCAGACGGTGATGTCGAGTACCAACCTTTCCCCATTTCTGATCGAGGCAGAATCGCGGGAAGTCCTAATAGTGTGACGTCGATCGATCAGCGGATAACCTGCTCTACTAACGGCAAAGCATTTAGACCATTGGAAGAGGAAGAAAGTGGTATCAACAACAATGATGAAATTAATGCTTGGGGATTTGGAAATGAAGAAAGAACCAATGGCATTCCGGTGGCTGCACAATTGGAACCACATAATCGAATTGTGATCAATATCTCTGGTACGAGGTATGAGACCCATGAGAGCACACTGGCGAGCTTGCCTGATTCTTTGCTTGGTTCAACCATAAGGCGAGCGCCTTACTACCGCCCTGCTAGTAATGACTTGTACTTTGAAAGAAACAGGGAAGCCTTTGACAGCATCTTGTTTTACTACCAATCAGGAGGCAAAGATGGCGGAATTCTCGTAAAGCCTGATGGGATAACAGATGAGACATTTGCCGTTGACGTGAAGTTCTTCGAGTTGGGAGAAGAAGCGGAGAGGATGCTTGGTTTGGTTCCTGAAGGAAATCATGATGAGTTCGAAGGTATTACTTCTGGCTTGACGTCCAAGATTGCTGCCCTCTTTGAACCCAACAGAACTCATAATTTCATACCCTTACACAGACTGATAGATGTCTGGACAATTGCTATCTTAGTACTCTTTATTACATTGCTCTGCGTACAAACTCTACCATCGATAAAAGAAATGTTAATAGTAAACCGGTGCTGCAACCAATCAGATACCAACGTAGCACTAGAAACACGCCGCGGCATTAGCCTTTTCTGGTCCGTCGGCGAGAAGGTCTGCGTATCATGGTTTACGCTGGAGTACATCCTCCGTACGCTTAGCACAACACACAAGAGAGCTTATCTACTTTCGAAGCAAGGAATTTTTGACATGTTGTCATTTCTTCCTTATGTTATTCAAATTATACTCAAAGAGATACGATCAGAAACAGATGAGCTTTACCTTCATGGCGTTTTAAACCTGTTAGCGTTCTTTTCAGTGTTTAAGCTGGCGCGCTATTCTAAGGGCCTTCGAATCCTTATGAAGGTAATTCAAACGAGCTTGAAAGAACTGGTGCTGCTTCTACAATGTGTGTTCCTCAGCCTGATCTTGTTTTCGTCTGTAATATACTTCTTTGAAAGCAGTGAACAGACCACACCCTTCACCAGTATCCCAGCCACATTTTGGTTTGTTACCGTCACCATGACAACAGTGGGGTACGGTGACATGACGCCCACCACAGTGGCGGGAAAAATCTTCAGCGCGCTGTGCGCCGTTTTAGGAGTATGTGTTGTTTTAGCAATCCCTTCCACAATTATTGTCTCAAATTTCATGATTTTATTATTCGGAGCAAAAAACAAAGCCAAGAAAAGGCAAAAAAGAAAGAAAAGAAGTTTTCTGCTAGAAAGGATAAATAGGCTTCGCACAGTCTCTAAACAATTTAAAAAACTGTAATCTTTTGGCCATTTCACTCGAGGATTGTTTTTGACAAACAGTAGCAAAGGCAGTAGCCTTCTAAAATTGCTAAATGAACAAATCATACAGAACTAAAAATCTTATGATAGTGAAACGTAGAACTAAGTATTAAACTAAATAAAACCAGATACACAAAAGATTATACGAGAGATAGTCAAACCAAATGCTATGTTGTGCTTAAATTGAATAAAGATACAGTAATGTCCGTATTCTTAAAAGGATATATGGCCAACGTTTTCAGCACTTATATTGCACTGAGTTATTGACTTCTTTCCACGCGTTTAAAACTGGGTGTTGCTTCGAGAATAACCTGTATCAGTAGCGTTCAGCGATCCCTCAGTGCTTATAAAAAGAAAAAAGTTGGTAACCTTCATGTATGGTCGAGTTTGAGCACCGTGTTAGGATCGGGTTTCGTGCCACTTTATTTTTTTCTACAGTTTTACGGGCACCGAAACACCTCGTGACAAAAAATGTACGTTTTTGTGGCCTTACTTGTTCCTCAGTATTTTTAAACTAAGACTAATTTTCTTGATTTTAGAAAAAAAGATGTTAAGGCTTCAAACAAGTTTAAGGAAAATCTCTCCTAGACTATCCCCCCTTCCGTTAAGAAAAGGAAGTGATAAAATAATACCTACAACCCCTCTTTCCTTTTTAAATTTCTTTGAAGCGAATTTCTTGAAGTTAAACATTTTTTGTAGGTGGGAGCCTTTTTTACATATTACTGTTATAACATGAGACTGTGTCCCCCCCACCAAAGAAAAAAAATTCATATAAGTCAAGTAAGTCAACTGATGAAAACCATGAAAAAGTTATCTGTTGTAGAAGTTCTTGGCCAAATATTGTAAGGTTTAAGTTTTCTAAAATATTCTTTATTAGTTATTATTGACCATACACAATTCTCAAATACCCACTCTACGCAACCAATAGCCATAACAGGACACATTAGGATCTCTTGACACAACCGAATCGACAAGGCAAACAAACAATGTAGAATTAAAGCCAGGCAAGCCTGCCATAGGACCTTTTCTATGGTTAAACAAAAATCAATTGTAAATTAGACTGATGAATGAATTTCTTGACAAAGTACCCAGTTTTCGTCTGGCTTTGGCTTTTGTCAGTGGTTGCCTTCCTTCGTTTATTTCATGTCGAATTTCATCACCATGCCTATATCGGTGCTTTTTTATAGAACGTCACTTAAACAATCCTATATGGTTCTACTGACTCAAAGATCTGCCTCCGTCCACGCGAATCACTTGGCCACTGATATACCCCGCAGAGGATACGCAAGAAAGGAACTCCACTGCCTTAACAACGTCATAAGGTTCACCCATACGATTCATGGGAACCTTTGAAAGAACATCTGCTTTTCTAGTTTCCATGGTAACGCACGCTGTTGACGCATCATTATTTACAGGCCACAACTCCTGGACTAATACCATTGACTCTGACAAATGGCGCGAACTCTTGGACGAGTGCCATGGTGCACATGAGAGTCCCAGCTTTTGAAATGCAGTACACTGAATGATTGGTCGGTGATTTGTCTGCATGGATGTCCAACAGGTTAATGATGTTTCCTCCTGATTCCTTCAAACTTGGAAAGGCACCCTAAAATAGACCATAGTTATTTCTAGTGACTTGGTACTGAGTTCAAAATATAAGGAAAGGCCAAATTCATTGCACGTAATGAAAGGTGCAACACCAAAGTTTAAACGTCAGATTTATTAGCTACAACCGAGGCAGCCTGCAGATCACTAAGAAATGATGGCCCCAGGCTGGTTCCCTTCCTCAGACTCTAGAACAATAATATTTGGTCACTAGCCTTTCGGAAGTTTGTATCTAATTAAAAGAGACCCAAATAAAAAGATTCCGAATCATCTTAGAGAGCGAGCACACTACAATTTGAACTTATCGCACTTTTTATTTCAATCATAGCCATCTTTAAATATTTCCACCTCACGTAAAACCTACTCTAATTGAATTTACAAAGGAAAAGATGAATTACACAAAAAATAAGTAAGTAAGAAGTTTATCTGTACACGTAACTCCTAGGAGTTAATAAAAACTCGTTCGAACGGGCACGAGCACGTGATACTAGAAAAAAGTAAAAAACCTCAGTAACGACTTTAACTAAATAAGATCTAATATCTATAACAGAAAAAAATATATATCACATAAAAGAGCTAAAATTTAACATGAACATTCAGAAAAAGGTCACAAACTATGACAGCAAAGAATAAAATAGTTTAGAAAATAGCAATACTGATAAAAATAACCTGAAAACATATGCAAGACAAAAACTAGTAAAACATTTCAGTTTACATGAGCTGCATTCGATGGACAAGAGAGAAGCATGGGTCCTAGTATTGGTCATTTGTTTGTCCCAACGAGAATGAAAACACGAACAGCTTACCTGTGAAAGGAAAAATGGAGCACTCAAGTTACTATTTATGTTTTCATGCCATTCTTCTTCAGGTACGTTTTTAACTTTAGATGAATGCAACTGTGAAGCGCTGTTTACTAAAAGGTTTAGTCGCCCCCAGGCCCCTAAAGTCTCCTCAATTATTCTTTCTGTGGTCTTCTTAGGCTCTCGGGCCAGGTCTCCATGAATAAATTTGGCGGAGCCTGAACAAACACTGCAAAAATGTAGACACCGTTATTAATAAGCTATAGCATCGATGATTTTTAGCATATCCTAAGCAAAGATGCGCTCTTCCACTTCTGTTGTACTTGTATTTGTGACTTCTCCTTCACGGTGATGCCTCATTTGCTAATATTTGTATTTTTCAAAACGAAATTTTGGGCTTTGCTTTCAATTGGGCTGTTTGGGTTCCGATCCAGAGGGTTACGTAAAGAAAGACAAACCGACACAGCTAGTAGGGTTACCTGTTCATCTTTTTAACCAGTACTAAAGCATCTGCAGCTGAGGTATTGTAGTCGATCAGCACGTTATATCCTATATCATGCAGTCGCATTTCTATGTGGGCACCAAGTCGCTTAGCTGCACCGGTAATAAGAGCAACGGGGTTTTTACTTCCTAGTCGTAAGGATCCGTTTGCAAGTGGCTCAGGTGTAATATTCTCACTCTTTATTTCTCCCGGAACGTTCCAGCGTTCTAGTACGTCCCACTTTCTTTTCCACTTCTGATATAACATTCTGTAACCTAAAGGAAAAAGACAAATGTTTGATCCATTTCAGTTTCTCTGCGCAGGCTTAAACTCAAATTTAAAACAATGTTAATATCAATTTCTAACGACTTTTACGTCAACATCGAATCACTAATTAGTCCAAACCATTAAAGACATCCTATTTTCCATATTTCAGTTTTGCATCTTTCTCATCAAAATCCAACATTAAAGAAGTCTATTTCCAAGCGGAAAAATAAAGTTAACGTATTCTACAAAAGCAGATTATTTGATACGTAAGACGGCTTTCTTACCCTGAAAGGTCGAGTTTCGTCCTCATGACAACTGCCATATTGATAAAATCAGCCTGCTCCTTTAGTCATGCCATTTAAAGTCTTCCCAGCACCGTTCAATTGTCACCGATGAACTTTCTGCAAACCGTAAAGCATTCGGCTTTTCTACGGTCACTTTCACTGTTGTAATACCGTACCTTGCCACACAAATGCGAGCAGCGTCGGTTGCCACAGTTTCAATGAGATTGTATTTTTTATTCTCCACATGAAATAGGACATCTTTTTGCGATGTTCTTGTAGTTGATCGTGTCGTCCACAAGGTCCGACTCACCAGCCTTCTTGAAGCAGGTTCTCAGGTGTAATGTGATGTTGAGCTCTTGACGTTTGCCAAGCTCATGGGGACTGATACCTACTTCAGTGCGAACACGTAGACAATTTAGCTCCACAACCGTGATGCATTCCAGTGAACAGGATTTGATTCCACGATATGAACCGACGGTCTAACGAAACAGATATTTTCTCAAATGTGAAGGTAACCGGTAATTATCGCTGTTTTATGTAGTTTTGTTTTGGCACGTTAGCAGCTCGTTTTTCGGAGACAATAGCTGTTCTACTTTACCCAGTCACGTCCAAAAATACGTTCAGAAAATTGTTTATAAACAGTGATATTGGCAGTCTAGACAACTACGTTTTCAGGTTAGACGACAATAATCTGATTCTAGATGTTTCCAAATTGTGTGCTAATTATTTTATCTCAAACTTAAGGCACCGTGATTGCAATATGAGTGAATTTTCTTGGAATAGGCACATCCTTTGTAACTACTTTCAGTTACGTGGCAGAAGTGTTTGACAACCTTATAATGACTTGGAAGGTTAATGCGGGCTATGGGTGTAAAATTGGTTGCGTAAGAGCATAAGAGCAAAAGAGTTTGTATCCTGGGTTACGTTAGGAGTTTCGGGACAAAAGAGGCTGCATGATTTTACTTTCACTTCTGATCGCTCTCGTTGTAGAGTCATCGATCTGGTGTAGGTTTTTCTCCCACCCTCCTTCCCTCTTTACATTACTGTGATTTACTTTTCCATGTGTGAAAGCTCGCATCAAGTCACCCCTGTTCATATTTGTATTCATAATAGCTAAGTGCAGTGCATATTAAAACTTCAATATTCAGTCAGTATCCAAGATAAGATATCAATCAAATGCCCGGCAGAAGACCCGACATATGATTTCAGTTATTCTAGCTGTTCTTTTTCAATTTTCAACCATTTTAAATCAAAACAAGTGAAAAAACTCCAAGTTTGAAGACTTGATCTAATGTCAATAGAAAGTGACAATAACTAAGCGTACATATAGGAAAATAAAATGAAGGTGGCTTGGAAAGGATTATGTGTATGAGTGATTGCGACTCAAATGTTGTGTACTAAGGGTAAACAATAGATTTAAGATACTAACCTTTGCCAAAAACCCCCCTGGGTTTTTCTTGTGCCTAATGAGCTGATTTTTCTTTGTAAAGCACTTCAGTTGGCAGCAAGTCTGGATGATATGTTGCCACCCGCACCAGCAGCAGTCAAAATTCCAAGAACTCTGGAGACTTGTTCGCCGTCACGAAAAAAATTAGAAGAAGACCAACTTACTACAACCATGACATCGGTGATGAGCCGTAATTGTAAGTATTTCTCCCCAACCGAAAAAAATACTTGGACATTTTTGTTTGTCAAAAATTACCTTGGAGTCTAAAAGAATTTGAGTCCAGAAACTAAATTGGTTTTGAAAGACAGACTAGACATGGTCACGTGATAGAAATAACCTGTTTAAATGTCTTATCAACAACCATATTCACCATTTATATATCTCGCTCGTATCTCATTCAATGCTAGTAAAGGCAATTGAATAAAATAAACACACTTTATCTTCAGAGGTCATTTGCTTTATTCTTGTGATTTCGGATGGATGAATGGATAAATTTCAGCAACGTTATAAGACAACGAAAGAATAACAGATGATGATACCCCTAACATTGCATTATACGAAAATGTTTTGATGAATAGTTCCTTGAAAGTTCCTTATACACTCGTCAAACAGTCCGCATAAATTATCTTAAAATTCTTAGAACTTTTTTTAAGTCTCATGCACCTGTTTGACAGCCCTTCATCATTGTTAATAAGCGATACCCACGATTTCGAGTCAGAATTTTTGCACTGTTTGACACCGTACGACCATTACAGTGCGGTATCTTTATGCCAAGTTATTATTAAGCTCTGCAAAAGTTTGCGATCACATTTTAATACAAGCTATGGCAGGCTACTTTTCTTTGATACTCTTCCTTATGTTTTTTATTCTAAACGATATTAAAATCCAAATAGTTGTAATCCTGGCATCTTTGTCGTTTCGTCCTTTTTGCTTTTTTCCTTTACGTGGTTCAAGAGCTCTTTTAAAATTTCACCTTGTTCTTTCAATGTGTCGCTCTGCTCTTTAAACATGTCGTACATTTTATCCACCCTATAAAAATGTAAAGATTATGTGACTGACTTACTGGATATAAACTCTGTCGGGTAGATGGACGTATATATTTTACTGTAGGTAAATATTATGCACAGAGTCAAAGGAGACAGCACGTTATAAACTATAACACCTGTGTAATGACAACCACATACATTTTTCGCTCACCATGCGCATGCGTAAATATAAGATTATTTTAATAAATGAATATTATCAAATGTTGGTAGGAAAACGCAACATGGCGTGGTTTCAAATTGACGGCTGGTCAATTGATGTCAAGCGCAGAAGCGTCTAGAAACGAAGTCTCTTTACTGAATTCGTGTTTTATACTTTACATGTTATTTTCCAGTAACCTATTTTCTTAATTTATAGTATTTACATAAAAGGAGTTAGAAACCTTTTTTCTTGTTCATCAAGCTTCCCAATAATTTTAGCCATGCCGGGTGATAACTCTTCTTCCTCTTCTACTTCAGCTGTTTCTGGCTTGCGAAACGACACAAATGCATCAAACAACTGGAAAACGAAAAAAATAGAATAAAAAGCACAGAGGATCAGAGTAGTTAAAACCAGAAGCTATTGCCACAATCTCCGTGCCTGTCAAATTGTCTTTTTTAACTTAAGAGTCTGCGTCTTCTGACAAAATCCTAGGGAGGGCGTGTCCATTTTTAATGAAACCCGAATATGCCCTCTTTGTTGGTACAGAGCTGATTAGGACCGAAAGAGCTACAAAACTCGCTTGAGCTCCTCCGATAGAGAGGAAAAGTCGTTACGTCATGTTGCCATGGTAGCAAAATTTTTGGATGACAACAAACCGAAAACGTCACTTAAAAAGTGAATTCGCACTGTTTCAAATTTTCTGGGGTTGAATCGAAAGGACCATATCAAAGTTTAGAAAAAGGCAAAGAAAATTTTTGTGTTGTGTTCACCTACTCCACAAAGGCGCGTAAAATTTGGAATCTTGCAACGACGGCTAAGAAATGTACAAAAAAGCATTTCCTGTCGTCGTCGCCGTCGTTAAAGCTTAAGCTCCAAACTGTTGTGATCCAGAAAATTTGGTTACCATGGTAACGTGACGTCATACTTCTCTCTATTTTAGGCCTTATAAGGGTTATTAAAGACAATCAGCGTTAACACTTGTTAATAGTTACCTTTGCCCTGATTGATTGGGCGTGATTTGGAAATTCTGAATAGCCTTCAACTTGAACATGTTTAAGGAAAAACGTAGGCATAGAACGCTCAATATCCAAGAGCATCTGGACCTGAAAGACACCACAACAACTAAGTACGTTGAGAAACGTATCATGATCCGGTTTGCATTAAGAATTTACTATTTCTTGATGTGTTTTTAGTGCCTGAAAGCCTAATCAGCCTAGAAAAATCGTCATTTTGACAGAAACAGCGGAATATAAGGCAACAACAGAACCCAGGGTAAAACGACGGCCAAGCAAAAGGCTGAGAATCTGGGAGTTACGAGGCTCGAAGAATAGCTCAAGTTTAAACCTATAGACAAATTTTGGGTTCATTTCTAGACAATTTAGGTAATCAAAGGAGTGAAAACAATCAAATATAAGCCACAGAAGTAAACTTAAAAAGATTCTATACAATGAGCCCCTCTCCCCCCGCCCTCCCCGAGGTTACATTTCGTTTCAGATAGTTTGACATGACATCTCTAGTGTTAGTAGTGGCATTTATTTTCAGCGTTTAGAAATCTCTGTTTCGACAATGAAAGAAAATATGCCATTTTTCATGTGACACAATAAACATTTCCCAGTGGTTTGTGTACCCCTCAATTTTGTCAATGGAGGACAACCTGAAAAGACTCATGTTCAGCATATTTATTAACTTGCCTGCAGCACATAGCGATCCATCAAGGCATTTTGTTGAATTTTGTCAATGTCGCCCACAGCAAGGCCAACCTAACACAGATTAAGCATAAATATGTTTCTCGCACTTTAAGACCTTTAAATTAACTCAGTTTTAAGATTTTTTAAAAGCTGCTAGAGGTAGCGCATTTTTGAGAGATTACATTTGTTATTTACATTGTAAACAATCGACAGTAGATCGTACGTTAGCTTTTGTACATCAACAAGATGAGAAGTAAAGTTTTCAAAGGGGAAATAACATCGATTATAACACTAGATTATTACACTACTAGATTTTCTCGGGCTGTCACCTTTTCCAGTCAATGCTAATCTATGCTCGGCTCTCGTCGGATAGCAGGGAGTAAAAAGAAGCCAAATAACACGCGTGTGATCTAGGGAAGGGGCAGGGCGACTCCTCTCTCCCCAGTTCCCGCGCGTTTAACGCATCAGTTGTCATGATCACTGAACATTACTTTCTTGGCGACTGAAACAGGCTAAGTCAATGTTTAAGACCCCAGCAAAGAAATAAGTCGTCTTCTTGGACTGGCACTGAAATGTGAAATTGTATTCTTCTAAGTGTTCGTTCATGACCTAAATTAAAAAATATGCAAAAGGTAATTCATCAGCAACGGCTATTTGCTGCTGGAGGATGAATATGACGGCTTACCCACTATAATGTTATGATTTAATTAATATTGAAGTGAACTGCATGATTAATCATATTCTGTCTTAAACTAAAACAGGATAAAATTCGTTAGGATCCGAAAACACCCTGTACCTGACAGTATGAAGAAAATAAGAATTGGCTTAAGGGATTTTCACTCACATTCTCGTACTTTCAGAGAGATATAAGCTTTGCTAAGTATTCTAACAAACCACGATGAAACGTAATTATAGCTTTGTAAAATCTTAAGGGTCAAACTCACCAACATGTTCATCAAAATGATTGGCATTGCAAGCACGAGAACAATAAACAGAATGTTGGTCAGAGTGGAGAATGGAAGCCTTTCCCAAGGTACGAACTCATCATGGTAATTTAACTCTCCCATGGTCATCACGTAAATGGTCATCAATGAATATTCTAGTCTTTCGGTAAACACGCCCTGTACATCAGAAAATAAAACCACCATGTTTACTTTAAACTTTTGATGAGTTGCGGGTAAAAAGCTGGCAACGGAGCCCACTCAGTGTATTTTAATGATATGCTGACGTGTTCTCTTGAGTTGCATAGCAGCACAATTTCTATCTCTCGACACTAAAATAAAGAGAGCTGGTCACTTTTTGTTCAAGCCAGGTATTATATCAGAAGAGAGAACATAATTTCTGAAAATGGTAATTTATCAGGAAATTAAACAATGTCATATGAGCCATGTTCGTGGTTGAGCTTTTTCAATCAAGTTTAAAGGTGACTCCTTGAAGAAATTGCAATACGCTGCCCAAAAACTTTCAGTGTTCTATATAAATAGCAAAAACCCTTTCTTGTCACACTAACAGTTTATCCTCTACTTGTAGCTTTTAACCAAGGATGATCGGAATTTTGGCGGGGAGAAGAGTCCAGTGACATCAGTTTTGAATGCCATTTTGAACAAAAGACTTGTGGAACTTACTTGATCCATAATCATGTAAAATGTGGTTCCAAACGCCATCACAAATAATAGCCACAACAACGTTACCTTGAAAAAAACAAAGATTAAAACATTTGCTTAGTCACTAGTATCTTATACGTGTTTCATTTAATTATTTTTAAACATGTTAATACATAATCAGCTATCCATTAAAATCAGGTGCAAACAATTTTAATTCAGGACCGCAAGCAGATACACGTTGTCCGTAAAGTATAGGCAAGCTTTCTGCGAGTTAGTTGCACTTTGTTAGGGCTTTGCTTGCCATGGCCAAGGAAGTGAAGGGATAATAATTTTAAGCAAAACACGATGCCCACCAAGCAATAAACCAACCTCGTCCCTGAGAGAGAGGTTACCAACATAGCCATAATCCTTAAGCGTCAACTGGCAAAGTGTTAATGATGTTTGTGGATAATGAATTGTCAAGGAAGGCCACATACTCTACAAGGTCTATAAAAATGGCACGATTTACTTCTCACCTTGAAAAGAGTAACAAACATGGTGGTCAGCATGATTACGTACTGTCCATAGGAAGACAGCCTGGAAAATAAACATCAAACGAGCAAACTTTGCTTTTAGGCAAGTTCGTTACACATTGGAACCTGGGAGCTGAAAACGGCCTTGAAAACAAATGGTTTATTGAAGTCACAAATTTTCCCTTTTTTTCACGACTTTCCGTATAGAGCGTTTTTACATGACGTCACGTCCGCCATATTGGTGAAACTGCGGCCATGTTGGTGTTCCTGTGAAACACGGCCTGTGGGAGGTGGCCTTTCCTTACGTAAAAACTTCCTTAATTTATTTCAAACATTTGCATAGCGGCTGGCCACGTGAGTGAAAACGCTCTATAAATACGTTGAAGATTTCATTACCTTCTGAAGTAAAGAATGAGATTCATCCAGCCAAAGAACAAGGCCACTGCACCAGCCTGCAGTTTATAACCTTTCTTACAGTCGCACGGGGGAAGGACGAAAACAAAAGTAGCAACGTAGCAGATCCACTCCACCAGGTTTAAAAAGCTGAGTACATATGCCAGACGCTGTGAGAAAGATGTTTATGTAAGCGCAAATGTATGAAGCAAGAAAAACGTTTTGAAAACTGAAGACCTTCTACCTAGTCATGGTCAAGTTGTGTAAAAGGAAAAAACTGGGCACTGGACAATCTGCGGGAATGGCGGGAATCCACAACCTTCCCGCTTTGTAGACCAGTTCTCTACCAATTAAGCTTTAACCATCGCAGTTAACAAATCGATTAAGTATTATGGTACTAGAAAGCCAGGTTAGAATGGCGATTTATGTTTGCAGTTTTTTTTTCAGTCTTCAAGGAAATGGCGCTACAGAAGGTATAATCTATCTTTGTTGTTGCCACACTTTTTCTCAGCCCCTCCCCCCAACAAGCTAAAAAGCATGAATTTAAAAGCTATTAAGACGCGTGACTTCTCAATCTTTATTAAAAGTCTTAACTTTGGGCGAAAGGAAATAAGGACGTTTTGCGTAGAATACTCACTTTGCGAATCAATGCAATGACGTGCTTCGCCATCAGACCCGTAGTCACTATCAAGACAGCAACACTCAGCACTTGAGTCGTCTAAAAACATGTAAAAACACAGTGTCTGATAAACACACAAGGGTAACCTGCTCGCACCATGCCTTTTAGTTAAGAGGCTTAAGGTACGTGTGATCTGACGGGCGATTTTTACGTGATGAAGAAGGCAATGTATTTTTTCACTTACCAAATCTGAATACGTGCAGCTTTCCTGCAGAGAAAACAAAATAGACCTTTTTAGCTGGTATGCTTGTTTTCTTTCCATTTCAGACCATGTGTTACCCCAAAAGAACTGTCTTCCCTTCCATATGCATGCACTGCATAATTCCCCTGAAAACATCCCTTGGTCTGAATTGGGAAACGCTTTCCATTTATCATGAAACTCCGGAAATGCCATTTTGGGATAATAAACAACACACTTTTTGAGCATTCCAACGGAAAATTCGTGGGTGTAATTGGAACTATGTGTTCCATTTTCGAGTTTTCACCAGTTTCAGACTCGATTCACGGCTATTTGAGAGGGGAACGAGTAGAACTTTTGTCAAATGGAAGACTCTCCTCGTCCAACGGCCTTTCTATCGAAGTTTCCAAAATATTTTGGTAAACAAAAAACGTCCACAAGCGCAAAGGCAGTCAAATTTCCACAACTGGAATAAAAAAAGTGCTCAAAATTATTTTTTTACCTTAATGACATTGATAACCATAATCAAACTTTCGGCATCATAATCATAACAGTGCAATCATAACAACAGCCCGTCGTCATTCAGGGAGTTAACCAGGGTTTTACTGGCTGCTGTCTGATTGGCCAGAGCAGCGTCACTTCTGACTAAAAGGACTATTAAACGCGGAAGTGAGCTGAGTATCGGTCACAAAGACCACATGCGTGAAGGATCGTAATCGTAATCATATACACCGCCCCTAGCGAAACTGCAGCTCAAGGTTTGTGTTGCGTGTTTAACAAACTCTTACAAACCTTTTTTCTTTCGTTTATTAAATGTTAATCGGAAATCTACTTCGTTAAGCTGTGCCCTAGGGCCAGGAGCCTGACGAAGAGTAAAGGTCGCCCTTAGAGAAAGAAGGGAATGAAGGGGAGAGTTGTTCAAACTTAACGTTGTATTTAGTGGCGGATAGTAAGGTTGCAACTGGAATACTCAGGCGAACGTTTTAGCACTCCACTACATCCTAGTTACCCTTCACCCATTATTTTTCACGGTGAAGAATGAAGAATGTACCTCAATGGAAATAAAAGTCCCGTTACTACAGAGGTTCTCCACTCCACCTCTTCCGTGAACAGCAAGAGCCGTCAACGGGATTATAAAGCAGAAATAAGAGAGCAGATTGACGGTAAATGTAATCCAACCATATTTTTTCCTGTAAAGAAGAATAAAAGAGAAATTAAACACTATTCTTACCGACAAAGTGAGGTAAGATATTTTTAGATAGTTAACTGTTGCCAAACCATTTTACTTAAATAGTTTTTTGGTCTGAAAGTTATGGTTTATTATGAAGCCATAACAATGGTGATATTTTCACATGTGAAGATAACATGCAATGCTCACATTGTGAAGATATCAAGTTTTCGCGCGAAAGCTCACTTGGTATTTCATTGATGATTTTATAATAAATAAGCCATTTTCATCTCCATCATCATTATCATTAATATATAATTATCATTATTATTATCATAATCATTATCATTAAGACACTAAGATATATCTTGGTGCCTCTAAGAGGTGTTCAACTAGTAAATACGTGACAGTGAACTCTCTCTTAAAGGACACCTCTATAAGACAGACACCTCGCGAAATCGTACATCAAGAGTTGATCCCTGCCTTTATTCCTTAACTCTCAATAAGACGGACATCTCTCTAAAACGGACAGACATTGCCGGTCCCAAAAGTGTTCTCGTTAGGGAGAGTTGACTGCTCTAGCTCCATCTTACCATTTGGTATCTAATAACTCATAACATATGACATGGGTCAGACATCTCTCGCGTCGATGTAAAGCCATTGCCTAGTATCACAAAATACATGCATAAGCAAATTAGCAAAAAACACGCGCAGTTGATATCGCAGTATAAGTGTCACATTAGAATCGAACCTCTTCTTACCATTTAATGCAAAGTCTTACGTTGAATGTTTCTTGAAATTCTCATAATACGTCATTTCTGCCTGTTGTGACTTAAATTATTCAGACATTCATAATGAACGTCGTTCTAACCAAAGCCAAAAGGTATCTGAGACATTGTACTTTTAAGAAGAAAACTGATATGTACGATCTATTTACCGTTAAGATATAATTAATAGACGAAATAAACAGGGACGCCGAAGAACACCGCTGCTAATATACTCAGAATCAATTTACTGATGAAGTGCAATGGTGGGACCGGGACAGAGAGTAAGCCCCCTGTTCCTAAGCGCAAGGCTGTGCATATTATGACATTTACCTCAATGAGCTGCATTGATTTTCTGTCGCCTTTCAGTTTTTCTCCAGGATAGTGCCCTTGAATTAGATTCAAGTTATATGTCATCTAAATAAAAATACAATTCGTTGACTTAAAATGTCGTTTTGATGGGTTCATTGCTAAAGAATCGACTTTTATTATTGTTTATATCTGTTTTCAATCTTCCCTTTGTTTACTACTGTTGTCCTTCCCATTTTTGTCACTTCATATATGTTATCTTCAGTTTGCTTTTCTACCTTAATGTTCTTTGCTCGTTTGCATGCATGATAAAATTTGTCCGGATTTTGAGAAGCCAAAGATGTTTTTGAGCGCTAATAGATTTCTTTGCGGGAACTGAAAATAGCTGCATGAAGAAAGTTCTTCTTCAACCAACACTGCTCAGTATTTAGGGTGGACATGCATGGGAATCCAGGCTCCGGGCAATCTTGCCTTCTTGTCATGTATAACTTTAATTTTCACTGTCATTACCTGCCCACTAAGAAGTAGTCACAAATATTGCAATATAAAATTTACTTGGTGTGGACAGGGATGATGTTCTCACCATATAATCCTCAGATTCAGGATCTCCTTTCTCTTCCACGCATTGATCCAAAAAATCCTACAATTTAAAATGCTTGTTTGTATGACCTGTTTAGCTTATAACTTAAACACAGACATTGCAATAGGCATCTTTTGCATATATAGAGGATATTACACAGTGGCGCGAAGATATGAATTTTATTTTCAAGTGGCAAAACAATATTTTACGAACGAGAGCAGCGAGATATCTTCAAGCCGCCGTGTAATGTTCTTTTTATTATATAGACAAAATGACATCGATAAAATAATAGAGGGAAGTTACCAAAATTACGTCATCGATAAACTCAGGTGTGAGATTATGGAAATAAACCACTCGGGTCCCCGATGTAGTTTTTATGAATTTTACGAGTGGTATATTTTCCAGTAAAACACTCGTGTCTATATAATACATATTAATAATAGATTATTTTATGATAAAACGTAACCACGACAAACTTAACTGTTGAAAGCCAAATTCGGTTTGAAGTCGGTTGAACTAGGAGTTTTAATGAGTTTTAAGGAAATAAATATCACGTTTGGTAGCAGGTTGAACTCAAGAAAGAAATACAGCCTGCGAAGATCTTCACATGGAACTCGGGTTATTCCATTCCCTCTTCGCATCATTACCTTAAAAACATTTTCTACTCACATGCAGTCCGCACTGTGTGTATCTGAGTAAAGTAATAGAACGCTCATCACCTACCACAACCACATCTGGCATCCTTTCAATCAGTTTTTTCATCAAAGGTACGAGACCAGTAGAACACTTACACAGCACTTCTTCCCACCTGAAGATATTTAACCCAATTAGATACACTGTTTTTCTGATCTTATAAACGGCTAAAGACAAATTTCATGACTGAGAAAGACTGAGGTAACATGGATTAGAAGGCAATTAACCATTTAACAGTATTCCAACTGATTTGTCTTCAAGAGAATCTGTTTAGCTTATAAAGTAATTAAACAAATTGATATTGTATTTTCAGTATGTAAACGTAATGAACATTTTCTTCTCAAGTTTAGTTCTTTACAAACTAGAGAGACAGCATTGCGGCTTTTACGCGAAATGGAAAACGAATGATATAACATTAATTCAAAGTTCCCACCTTACCTGTCATGCCTGGCTATCACTGATGCTACATCCTTATGCTCTGACCTGACAGCAATATCCAGGATATTTTCATGGTCGTTGTTCATTAAAACTTTTGCCTTCAGATCTGTCAGAAAAAAGTTCACCACAAGTGGATGGCCATTGATCGCCGCCAAATGCATAGCAGTGTTCTGTGTAAAGAAGGTGGTGTTAAACGTTATCATAGTTCCAAATGGTTAATGGTTATGCTCTGACATTTCAGCATTTGTAGGAAAGCTACGGGATGCCCCATTCATAGCCTTAAAGTTAAATGTTTTTCAATCTATCTTTAGTCACGTATCAGTACCTTGCTTTTGTCGACATCGTTAACACAGTCCTCGTATTTTTTAACCATCACCTGACAACAGGCCAGTGATCCTCTCCCAGCAGCGTAATGAAGGGGTGTTCGCTCATTGTAATCTCTGCAACAAGAACAAAAGCATATAAGTGACTCGAACATGATGTGTATGCGTGGGTCAGATCAACGTTGCCTGTCAACGTGCCAACGCCATCCAAAAAACCCTTTTTTCGAAAGGGTTGTCTTTCCCATAAAGACTGATTCACGATCGGTCTTAGTTAAAAGACACCTGGCTTGTGAAAAAACAAATTTTATTTTTGTTCATCAGATCTGAAAAAAATGTTGACAAACGTAAAGGAAGTCTCCGTTTCACCACGCCCTAGGGGTTCTTTGTTTTGACTCTTTAGAAGGAGACATTATTGCTTGTAAATAGATCATGTAATTGAATAAAAATATCAATTCATGATTCAAGCAAGGTCTAACATTGTTCCGCCTTTACATCGCTATCATAAAGCCATATATGATATATCTTAAAGCAGGGGACTCATGGAGAGAGCTTTACGAATGTGCATGAGCACGAACAGCAGCACGAAGAATACTCGATGCTGAAAGAGCAACGCAGATATTGACTTTACGGTTACATTTTATGATAACACATATGAAAACAGATTTTTCATAGCTTAGAATAGACTAGAAATCGGCAGTAACAAGCGAAAATGATATAGAAGTATTAAAATACCTTTGTATTTCGGCGCCGAGTATCAGGAGCTCTTCAGCTGTGCTGTCATGTCCCTCTGCACAAGCGAAGTGAAGCGCTGTTTTTCCTTGACTGTTTTGCATGTTAAGGATTTTAGCATTTTGGTTTTCCATCAGCGCTACAGCAGTGTCCGTCCAACCATATCTTTAAAATAATAAATAATGACGAAAAAAAAATTCACACGCTAAAAAATCATATAAAATATATAAGTAAGCAGGGCGAGTTTGAAATACCAAACAAATTAAGAGCTGCGCATACAATGAAAACATTTTGGGTATGGTAACTCTATGAGACATAGATCGTAAATATACGCTATTGATTGCCTTAGTCTCTACCTTCCACCACAAAAGGTCGAGAAAAAAGAGAAGAGAAAAGCAAACATTGTTTACTTGTTGTTCCTTTAGGCCAATCAAGTGCGCCATGCATCTTATCGAGACTAAGGGAATTATTTCTCGATCACTGGGCAATCAAACCCACTAACAGATCAATACGTGAAAAAATGTTATAGAAAGCACAGTCAGGATAATGTAAAATATAAGGGTTAGGGTTACATCAAGAATCAAATATTATCTCTGTGTTCACTCTTAACAACGGCCCTCTGTCAACTACATTAAAAAAATGTTTAAGGGAAACGAAACTGCAACCTAATGACAGGTTTTTTGTTTCCCAGCCAACGTCTCTGAAACCTAAAGGATGTTTAAATCCGATACAATCCTACTGGTGTACTCGGTTTCCTTTGTCATACTCTTGGCTCATTCACTGGCTAAATTTTTGTCGAAAAGTATGTTCATTTGTAAACGCCAACTGGCATTCCTACCTTGATGCTACGTGAATCGGAGTATCTAAGCTGTTCGACAAGACACTTGAGGACGTCCTGTTTTTAGCTACAAACAACTTGATAGTCTGTTGAAAGAGTGGGAAAATAACTGCGGTAAAACATAAAGGTATCTCTCGACCTGTAACATTTTTTAAAATTTTTGGATGCTGTACTAGTAAGTTTGAGATTCCTGAGATAAAATATAACTATAAAAGTAACATCACCTTGACATCTCCCCTTCGGGCTGCGTAGTGAACCGGCGTAAATCCATCAACGTCTTTTTCAGTGATGAGAGCGGCAGCAGCAGGACTCTGGTTAAATATACATCATAATTATAATTATACTTCTGACATCGGTAGTCATATATTACTATTGTTTTGTTGAAGAAGAACTGTTGTGCATTAAAAGGCGAGTAAGAGTGTTTCATCATGAATAAATCCTCGATGAAACACGTACTGTGAGTTCCTTAAACTGCTTCAAAATCTATTCTCTTCATCAGTCCAATCATCCATATTTATGTGAGCTAAAAGCTCAGCTGTGTTTTGTTTTATTTTTCTTTATGAATTATTCATAAGTTTTTAAACTAGAATTTATACATCACAACTGAGTGACAAATATCAGTGTTTTTTATAGGTATGACTCGCGTTGAGGTATTTGAGTACTTGACGTAAAAGAAGAGCTTCACTGTCTAAAATAAAAGAACCTAGCCCTCACACACTCGCAGTTGCTATAACAACACTCACCTGCAGTAAATATGCCATAGATGTTGCATCACCCACTGCCGCATGAACCACAGACTTGAGCATGGTATCCCGGATGGTGACGTCAGCGCCTTCATTCATCAAAAACGTAACCACACTATTTGCGCCGTAACTCGCTGCTAAGTAAAGAGGTGTACGCCTCTCGTCGTCCTTTGGATCAAGTGCCGCTCCCTACAGATATATACATAGAAGTAAAAACCATTCAGTCTAAAATACAAACCTGACTGAAAATAAGCATTGCAAGTGTTCTTTACTGCGCTTTTCACAAACATGCAAACTCTGAAGTTCAAAAGCCGCCTTCACAATTGCGTTTTTCGCTGCCGTCAATCATAATTACGATCACAGGCAACGAACCTTGCAACGCAGAAACACACAAAACGGATCGAAATCCACCAATCACAAATCACAAACCATGACCTTTTGAACCCGTTAAAGTAAAGTTTTGTTTCCTAAGAGGTCCGTTAAGATGATTGACGGCAGCGAAAAACGCAATCGTCAGTTGGCTTTTGAACTTCAGAATTCGCATGTTTGTGAAAAGCGCAGTAAACAGCATTAGTTCGTATCTCAGAAAATAAAGTGAAGGCAACCTTCATGTTCGTTTTATCTCTAGCTGACAGAAAAATGCATCTCTTAGGAAAACCTCGGCCTCCAGCCTCGAGAAGTATTCCCAGACATTCACCATATTCTCAACAGAGGCCTCTCACGACATTGAGTGAATCATTGACATCCCTGCTCCCCAAATCTACCCGATATTTTCCTTTGGTGAAAATATGAAACAAAGGCACTCACATTTTCCAATAAGAACTCCACAATGTGAACATGGTTTTTCCCCGCGGCGAGATGAAGTGGTGTCTTGCCTCTGAAGTCGACTAGTGTTATTCTACAGATTGCAGGGTCTTTGCTGACTAAATATTGAACCATGGGCATCGATCCTTGTTCGCAAGCCATGTGAAAAGCTGTTGTTTTGTCTGATCTCTGTCCATTGTACAGAATAAACAGTTATCTTATGCACGCGCGCAAAAGGCTTCCTAGCACAAAGAGGCTCGAGAGTCAAACGAGGCATGGGATAAGAAAAATAGTAACTTGAGTGGTGAACCAATTAGAGTGACTGCTTTCCTTTGTCATGTTAGAAAAAATTATGTAAAAGCACAAAAAGCCACAATTCAGTGAACACTGACACGGCGTTTAAAGTCATGTGCAAGGACTGTAAACAGTGCATGAATTCTAATATCGAAATTGATCTTTTATTTTTGTGATAAGAACCCTGTACATTTTTGGGTAACGCGCATAGAGACATCACAGTCCATGTTACTATCTACCAAAGGCAATAACGGTTTACGCCTAATTATCCAGAATAGTGACTTAGTGAATTTGTGTTAAGTTTTTATTAATTTACACGTGCTAGTTTACCTTCGGTTGCCGTACGCGAGCCCCATATTCCACACATAACTCCACCATCTATAAAAGTATACGAGATAAAGCAATATCAAGCAACAGGCAGAGGTCCTTTACTTATAAACAATTTTTTCGTCCGTAGTTCAAAAAGCTTCATTAGACTGAAATTTAAATGTCCTTTGGCTTTTGATAAAGTACTATTCCTTTTAGCCACTATGTTAGCACGCATCTCCCTAAAATGATTCCAATTTCATGGTTTAAACCAGGATAAGGTAACAAGTTTTCAAGTCCAGTCATTTTAAGTTATGAGAAAATTCTAATCAAATTTGATATGAGGGAATGAGGTGTTTTCTTTACACTAAAACATCAAGTTTGGGGATTCATCGCATGGCAGGAAAATACCTTTAATACGCCACTGTTGGCAGCCAAGTGAAGAAGAGTGCTGCCATCAATGTCAGCATCATGCATGAAATCCTCCACAGAACCTTTCTGTTCATTAACTGTGGTTACGAATCCAACAAAAAACATGAATATTATGCCCCAATACACCAACTAACCATGTTAAATAAAACCAGGTGTTAAAAGTTGTAAAACAGGCACGAAAAACTGAAGCATATGTTTTCACAAAAAATCCAAATAAAATTCAACATGTTCTGTAATCGCATTAGCAATCAACTAAAGTCAGTAAGAAGCTTTTATGAAAAAAACAATGTAAATCGTTTTTAACTAAACTTCAACTTTGGTGTGAATGAGGCTTTAACTTGGCAGATTTTTTCGTCAGATATTGCATTGATTATATCATCTAATTTAAAACAATATCATCGCAATTCGAATCTGAACTTGAAAATTCACTTTCACTTATTCCTACCGCCAAGTGATCATAATGGCCGTAGGAAAAGTATTGACCTTCTTAGGTGTAAAAAATGAGATAAATACAACAGTTGCTGAAAATTTCTTCCGTAAAATTAGTTGGATAACTTACCAATCTGCAGCAGATAGCGAGCAGATTTACTGGCTCCTCTTTCGATAGCTCGGCCAATCGGTGTCATCCTATCATTATCCAGTGGTGTGATCCTAGCATTATGATCAACCTGTGAGGCAAAAATAATACAGATTAACCCCAGACTTGTCGGTGCAGTCACTCTTCTCTGCGACAAAATGACAACATAACTTCTCACTAATTTCCAAGTGCAATATCAGGTTTATTGGTCAGACCTATAAGTGATGTCATGCAACAACTAAATTTTTGTAAATGCCAGCTTTCAAGTCATGGACATCGAATGACATATCCAAACTGACAAACTGCTTAAATATTTCACTCTTGTTATGATAACGTAATTTTTACATGTACAAAAAAAAAAACTCGCGTGCCAAAAAAGACTATTTGGTAACATTACAAAGTGAACAAATACGTACACTGGTCTTCTAAGCTTTCGTAATTCAAGAGTATTTGAAAGATTTTTGCTAGACTTATCTTAAGTACTGTAGTTATGCATGGCTTGTTTCTTCGATAGAAGATTTGTAAAAGCACCCTCCCTCAATCGTTTTCCTTCTTATGCGAGACTTCAAATGAGAACAGTTTTGTTTAATTGACTAATCTGAATGCTGTAACGCACAAGAATCCCAATACAATGGCTGCCTCAGCTCGCACTGGATGTTAGCACAGTTTAAATCTTGCATTCATCTGCTCCATAACTCAAATTACTACTTCTACGTTGTAGTAGACCGGGTTCTCATTTTTGACTTGTTCACGCTTAATAAACCTTATTGTCATGTAAAACCCCCTGTTAAGGTACAGATATGTATAAAGTACATCAAACTGAACATTGCCAGTCACAAAACCAGCGATGGTAAGAGCCAATTGTTTGATATATTATCACACAAATCTCACCAGAATCTTGCAAATCGCATCATTGTCCATGGCAGCAGCGAGATGGAGGGGCGTGGCAGAATTCCTTCCGAGGCTATGAACGTCACATCCGCCACGCTGGAGAAGAGTCTTCAAGGAGGTAAGCAAAGTGAAAGTGTTAAATCCACAGTCGTTATAATACTTTAAAAAAAAAACTTTCTAATACTTCAGCTCCTTTTATTTCTTAGAAACGTTTCTTAGAAAATTGTTTAAGTTAAAGTTCTTAGTAAGTGCTTATAACCTATCTGCTAAGACCCTTGAGCAGTCATCCATCATCACGTGCCTTGTTGACTCAATGTCAAAGACAAATAATCACGTCAGAGTCATCATTTAGAATGTAATACCCAAATCAACAGATTGCTTCCCAAAGCAAGAATGACAACGGGGTTTGTTCTTTGCAGGTTCAATTAGGGCACAGAAAAAAGTGTAAGATTGGGAAAAATTAAGACACCATTATTGTGCAAATAGGGCAAGGAAACAAAGTTACCCCTAGTTTTTACACAACTCATTTGGAGGACTAAAATATTGGGTTTTCTTCTTTTTGCATTCTAAAGCCATCTGAAAATTTCTTTCATAAACACAGGTGCTCACAATTTCCAAGTTGCTTCAGACAATCTACTTCCCTGTAAGAAAATAGCCTAGGAAACTCACCAGGACCAGTCTCTGACTTCCAACATGAATAGCGGTGTGTAGAGGAGTATCACCAGCGTCATCAGTTAGTGTGACGTCGGCATTGTATTCCATTAACTCGTCAACAATCCGGAATTGCTTTGACAAGATGGCAGTGTGAAGGGGCGTTTTACCGGACTTGTCTTGACGGTTTATATCTTATGGGTACAAAAACACAAAAGGAGAACCAGTCAGTTCTATATTAGTCCCTTGTAGTATCAGGCATTTAGTTAATAATCAAGCTTAGCGTTGTGCTACATCTTTGTAGCTTCTTTCTTCCGTGAATACCGCTATTAGTTGCTATATCTCCATCATCAGCTTCAATACTGCTCTTGGGCAGTGATTTCCTGTAAAACTATCTATTATACTTTTCAATGTAGTTCTCACATTTACTGTTGAGTTTATAATTCGTGTTTTACGTGTGTTGTTCAAAGCTCTGGCAAAAAGTACCTTGTGTACCAACTAATATTAAGGCTACTATGCGCTAAGTACTTTCCCTTGCTGCTCTTTGTTTTTCGAAGTGATTCTTGGTAATACGTACTCAGTTTTAAGTTTTTTTTGCTTTCTTTTTCACTTAGTTCCCCTTTCGTTCACTGCTGTTTACCCTAACTATGCTTGATACAAACCTCTAATATTTTATTTTTTATTGTGAAGTAGCTCTGCCATTGATTTTGACCTGTTATGTTGCAGTTAGTCATTCGGTAAAATATTTTTTGTGGAAGCCTATTCCTTATAAGCCTTGTGGTTTCCTTTCGACTTTGGTTTTGTATTATATTTGTAATATGTGATCCGAATCTGAGCAATTTTTCGTTATGTATGCATTTGCAAAAACAATAAAGAAATCCTCTTGTGCAACCATTCAAATCAGAGCTACTTAGCAATACTTTCCTGTGGTTCAGTTTACTAAAAAACTGACTTACTTTTGAATCTGTAGAGTTAAAAGCTGGCGAGCAGATCGTTATTGTGGTGCTGTACAAGGTGGTTCTAACTTTAACACCTACATATGGCACTCACCGGTACTTCCGGCTTTACTGATAACTCGGAATACCTCCTCTTCATCTCCAGCGAGGATAAGCTGATGAAGTCTGTCTGTTTTAGGGTGTTTCTACACAGTAAAAAAAAATACTTTATTTACAATACATGCATAATAAACCTTTCCTTTTAGATCGAAGATCGTTTCAAACTTAATTAAGAGGCGAGCTCTTATATACTTAGCTAACTGATCACTTGTTTATACAAGAAAAAGGATCCGTTACTTTACTTTATCTTTAACCTACTTACAACAGATTCTGAAAGAACAGCAGAATTCTCCTCCATCTTTTCGCCGCCATCCATTGAAACCTCGCTAACAGAACGAGATCTCTTCCGTTTTCTTTGTTTTTCGCCGGCATCGTCCTTTACCACTACTAAGAGCTCCTTTTCTTCCGGCTGCGAGTCATCGGGTTCCTGGAAACTAACCTTCTTTCCTTTGTTCATCTCAAGAAATGGGACAAAGTTTATTATTATTTCAAATAAGAAATATGTTTATCAGTTTGTTAGACTAGAAATTTAACATTGCTACTACGCATAATCAGCCGATTTTATCGTTCAGATTTTCTCTTAGAAGCTCATAGTGGCTATTCTTAGTGTTCCAAAGTCAGCTTCCAATTTGAATATGACTGACTCTCTCAATTGGAAGCGACAACATTATGCCATATAATTACTATACAATATCAACCTTCAGAATATTAACTTCGGGAATCCCGGTAACACAAAGTTCAATGTTTTGTCCACACTTAAGAAAAAGAAATCTGATTATCACTTTAAACTCTTAACAATAGAATTTCATCCTAGGTTTGCTTACATAACATTAATGTTTTAATAAATTCAGGCTCCATAAAAATTATTATTGACTATTGCTTTGAATTAATTTGAAAGTCACGCTATAAGATTTGATCCAAATTAGACTGAATAGTAATTGAAATAACCCGGTGTAGCAGAATAAAAATCCATATTGTATTTGTTGGTTACACTTTATCATTGAAGTGACTTACACATACGGTTAACACATTTAAGTTCATTTCGCCAGACCATGCTTGTTGTAATAGTAATTCACGCGATACAAACTAATTGAGCGTGTCGTATTGTGTCAATGTTTTATTTTTATCAACTTAAGCTTTGCTATCCTTGAGGTATTTTATGCTTCAGCCGTCCTTCCTGTTCGTTTGAGCAACAAGTTACTGAAAGGTGTTTAATACCATTACTGATGGTTTTAAAAAGCCTAATGAAATCTTTATGCTCGTTTTCAACCCAAATTCAGTGTGGTCTTAAATTTTTACCCTAGACTCGCACCACTGAGAAATTCATCACTGAATAATGGCGGAAAAGATAACATTATAAACAGACGTTGGATTGTAAATTTGTGCATTAGAATGTTTCCTTGCGGGTAAAATTTATGTCTCCGACTGTAAAGAGTTTTTATGATGGTTAATAAAGGGAAATATGCTGAGAAAAAGCTGATGTTCTAACTACTCTGTGGAATTTTCAAGTTTAAACTTTGTGCGCTACTTCTGTGGTTGAAATGCTATCGAATGTTAAGTGTGACTTTTTGACTAACACTGATCGCGTAGTACTTATTCTTGTTTGTGCTGTGGTTTATAGTACTTTGCAGATCGATTTTACCTCTTAAAAATTAATGAAATAGACATAAAAGTAATAAAGATATACTTTAACGTCCTGTTTCAGTAAATACGATTCAGTAATCGATAAGCGTCACACAAAGTTTCTTGTTGTTCATGTTGTGGTCTTAATGTCTCCATGAACAATAGAACGAACTTACCTTCTAAGTTATTAGTTCAAGTGTTTCTATGAACTGAGACAGACAACGTTTACGTCTGCTTTGATTAGTGATTTATATTATGGGATCTAATCTCGCCAGAAATGATGATATTCAAGTTGTACTTTTTGGTTCACTGGTTAACAATAAAGATTATTTAACATGCATTTTACAAACATGACTGTGTAATTTAGAACCTTAGAGAAAAATTTATTCGTGTAAAGGAAACTTGTAGCTAACGAATGCCGGCGTTGACCTGTGGAGTGAAAATAAAGGGTGGACGAGCGCAGTAAGATGAAAATGTTCAAGTATAAAAGGTAATATGCTATCTTTGTTCTAATTCAAAAGGGTTCATGATCAGTCAACTAAATAAGTCAGGTAATGGTTCTAACTAATGGCACCCCTGCAGTTCTTTAATAAATGATTATTAGTTCACATAGTTCCATATTCCTTTTGGTCCGGTTCCTTAGCAAGCTCTATTTCGATAAATGTCGTACTTCCAAAAAATTCTAAAAATAATCCTTTTACATCTGATAAAATAACATCGAATCTGACGAACAACAGTTCAGTTCCATTCCAAACAAAATTGCTTGTTTTCCCTTACTTACGAAATAATTGACATTCTGAAACTCGGCTTAAAGAAATTGTTCACATAACCTGCATGCCTCGTGGTAATACCCCGCCCTTTTGTTAAGGTCCTTGTATTAAGGCTGCGTTGCACATTTTTCTTCTTACGCGACGTTGCTTTAAGCAACAGCAAAGCATCTGTTTATTCCTTAAAAATATGATAGATAACCCCTGACCTTGTTAAAGCACTGTGAATAACTTTAACTTCAGGAGGCGGCGTAGCCGATTAGTCAGCGCGTCGGACTCGCAATCCGGCGGTCCCGGGTTCGAGTCCCGCTCTGGCCACTTGCTGGATTTGTTCTCGGTCGTCCCGAGTTCAAATCCCCGGCCACCCTGTAAATAGCCAACTGGTTGCCTCCTGCCAGTTGGGGTTTTTAATCCTGTTATGTTGTATTTGAATTATTTGTTTCTAAGTATTTGAGTGGAGTGCCTGTAAACTAGCTGGTAGACTACGAGTATTCCCCCATTTTTCCTCAGGGATAGTAGAGCGAGCGAAACGTGAGCGCGCGTGAAAATCACTCCACTCGAGGGGTGATTTTTACGCGCACTTGCGTTTCGCTCGCTCTACTATCCCTGAGGGAAAATGGGGGACTACTCGCAGTCTAACTAGCTGGAAAAGCTGAGTGCACCTTTCACTAAAAACAAACCTTTAAACCTTTTTAAGTTGGTCCACAATTCTTATAAAACAGCGGAAAGGAGAAATGGGGAAATGTCAGGCAAAATGTCAGCAGCCAAAAAACACCTTAAATCTAGGGTAACCGTGAAATCGTCCAGCAATATTAAGTAGTGAAATTAAAAAATATATATACCTCCCCCCTAACAAAAAAAAAAAACTAAAAGCGCTTTTGTCTTAGAACTCAGTTTTCAGTGGCTAAAGTGAGCACTCTTAAAAACGAAGTTTAAAAAACTGCAAATAAGCACTCGAAACTAATGTTCTTATCAAAAGCACGGAATTACTATTGATGTAAGCTTCGGCCTCCGTCAACAGCTATAACTTGGCCTGTGATATACTCTGCAGAATCACACAAAAAGAAAACCGTGTCGGCTATGTCAGCTGGATCTCCACTTCGTCCAAACGGAACTTTCCTCAGAGTTTCCTGATGTTTTTTCGCTCTCTCTTTTTCATCGACGGACATTCCATCCCATGGTCCCTCAGACCAGAGGATGCACCCAGGAGCAACACCGTTAACTCTGACATTTGGTGCAAACTCCTTAGCCAATGATAGTGTAGCCATATAGAGGCCTGCTTTGGAGATACAATAGACTGAGTGATTATCCTTGGGTCGCACTCCGTGGATATCGCACAAATTTACAATGCTTCCTCGGCTGGACTCTCTTAAGAAAGGATGTGCAGCCTAAAGGTTAAAATATTAATTTCGTTACAAAAACTAACTTGAAAATGATAAATCAGAAGTTTAAAAAGTTATTTGACATGGCTGTCCGATATACCTGCGAGAGAAAAAATGGTGACGTTAGATTAGCTTGGATTAGGACTGTCCACTCCTGTTCTGTTACTGCATCAACGCGTGTTGGAAAAAACTGGGAAGCATTATTCACCAAGACGTCAAGTCTTCCCCACACCTCCACCGCTTCGTTGATGACCCGCTGGGCAGTTTTGCTTACATCAAATGATAGATCAGCTTGTACCAGCACGGCAGAGTTCTGTCGATCTCTATATGAAGAAAAAAGGTTGTAAACATCGATATACAGCACGAGATTATGGTTGAATAGAGGCATTCTGTGGTGTGTGAAGGTTAGTATGTAATGATAAACTGAAGAAATATTGAAGAGCAACATGATTGCAATAATGTTTTTCTACCTGTTAAGTTTTTGGACCAGCTTGTTTGCCTCTGTTTCAGACTTGTTATAATGAACCACCACGTTATATCCTCCATCGTGTAGTTTTTTAATGATGGAAGCACCAATCCTCCTGGCGGCACCCGTTACCAAAGCAACCGGGTGGATCTCAGTTGTCAAAGGTTTCTCAATGCAATTTGGGATGCTGCCTTTAAATCGATCTATGGAGTCACTTGAGACAGGATCTGCGAAGCATGGAATGTTTTGCAAGTCACTGGCGTTAGCCAGGGAGGTATTCGTCGAGGATGGTTTAATCAAATCTGTTAAAAGGTCTTCATTCAGCATGGCTGCATTTGTGTTAGACTCAGTTGGAGGCTTGCCAGTTTCTAGGGTCATCGTATTAAAAAGTGGCTCCCCATCTGACAACTGATATTCCCCTTTAAACCTGGGATTCATTTTGCAACTGTCCCCTTGCTCATGGGAATGCTCAACCGAACCATCAATCATTTGCAGAAAGCCTTTGTCTTGAACTGTGGAAAACAGAGAGTAGAAGTCGTCTTTACCACTGATGTCCTTGGCAATTTCTCGGAGAGACTTTTTCTTTAGTGGATGAACAAAGTTTGGAGTGACGTCAGCCAAAGGAATGATCACGTGAGCTTCCTTATGTGTTTCAGGATGAGGGACGACGAAATGTTTGCCCATCGATGAACGGTTAAGCACGTATTCCATGATTTTGTTTTCATAGAAGGTGATGTCTAAGTCAATGGTTACAGCGCTTGAATTAGGTTTTCGTTCTCGTTGCATTTGAAGCTCAATGTCAAGTAAAACCAGTTTCAAACTGAAAAAAAGACAATGTGTTTAAGAATAATGCTTGAAATAGTTATTTGTCGAGCATTCGTTGTTGGTCTTGTTTGAACTTTCCCTTTAATCTATGATTTTATTCAAGAAAGAAATTTGATGCTCTTCTCGATTGGCTCCCGTATATCGAAGAGGAAGCAGCTCCTTGACGTATTAGATCAATTGCAGGGAACCTATTCATCTTATTCGTTACACTTTTTTTTCAATTTGCTTCCATAATTATAAAATATGTCTGCAAACTTAAGAGAGACATTCAGGTGAACTATGCTGAGCCCTAGTGAGGTTTCTGGTTGGTAGGCGCTGAACGTCTGAATACTGACAGCTTAAAAAGTAATCCCGTTTAGCTCAGTCATAAACGATACAAATTTTTCATAACATCTATAAATGCAATCGTTACAACTTACCCCTGGATATCAAGCTTCGTCTTAACTAAGGCGGTGATATTGATAAAGTCATCAGCCTCTTTCTCGACCATCACGGCTTTGGTCCAAAACGCGGTGGACAGTCCAATAATAACGATTCCTTTATCTTTTAGCAATTGGATGGCTTGCGGTATTTTACGTAAAGGATCCACGTTTGAGCCAAGTTTTACATGAGCCTCATGCCACTCCAAGTCTTCCCAGCACCGTTCAATCGTCACCGAGGAACATTCTGCAAACCGTAAGGCGTGAGGTTTTTCCACAGTCACTCTCACTGATGGAACACCGTACCTTGCCACACAAATGCGTGCAACATCAGTTGCCACAGTTTCTATGAGATTGTACTTTTTATTCTCCACATGGAATAGGACATCTTTTGTGATGTTTTTGTAGTTGATCGTGTCTTCCACAAGATCCGTCTCACCAGCCTTCTCGACGGAAGTTCTCAAGAGTATTGATATGTTGAGCTCTTGGAGTTTGCCAAGCTCATGAGGACTGATGCCTACTTCAGTGCGAACGCGAAGGCCATTAATTTCTATCACATCCATTTAAGCATACTAATAATAGAAACAATAAACGACGACATAGGATAGCTAAAAAACTGAATTCGTGGCAGAGGAAGTGGTCTGCACCACTAATAAAAACAACAGGATCAGCTAATGGTACTAAATTGATTGACTGAGGGTGAGTACCAAATACCGTAAATGCTCGAATAAGCGCCCCGAGGAGCTTGTTCAAGTTTCTGACCGTCAAGAGGGAGGAGGCGTAAACTAGAATGGGTCGCTTAAAATCGTCCTACCATCATTGTTAGCTTACAACTTGGACTACGGTTAGAGGACTTTTCGCTGGTTTGTTCAAAGGCCATTTTTTTGTTTCGGCGAGTGCACCTTCATGATTTTAGCATCAAATTGACTCGAAAACTTCGTAGAATTCTAGTGACACGATCCCTTCATATCAGCCTGCAGTCGGATAACGTTTCGTCAAATCGAGAGGGGTTTTGCTAATCTGCCACGTTTGATTGTTGAGGCCTGCGGTATTCGGTTCTGGGAGATGGAGATTGCCTTTTTGGTGTAGTCTTCAACAGGCCTCAACATCATTATACTCTGAATTGAATGGGAATTTCACATCTCGCACATGCCAACCATACTGTAAAGAAAAGTAGCTCATGACAGCAACTGGCTCAATAAGAAAGCCACGGTGAGAAGCTGCCCCGAAAGCAATGGATCAACCGGTTGACTTACCTAGTAAAAACAGGACAATAAATAACTTACTTCAAAACAGTTTTTAACAAGTCTTTGCAGTTACTGTAGAATGAATTATATTGAACACGTACTTGAAATTTCATATATTCACTTTCTGAATTATCATACTAACAATGAAAAGTTACTGCTGTTTATTTTGGACGCCACACGACCATGGAAAATTAATTATTTAACTTTTACTCTGTATTAATGAAAAACTCAGTGGCAACAGTTTGTCTCCTGTTGATCAGCTGCGCCAGCAAAGTATAAAGATTCAGCATCAGCATTAAATAGAGCGATTTTTTTTTATATTTCAAAGGGGATACATTTACACTAAGGGATGCTTTTTTTTTACACGTTCGTACTTTGAACGAGTTTTCTAGCTCCTCGACGTAACGTGTCAAACTAAATGATTGATTTATTGATTGATTGATTGATTGATTGATTTTGTCAAAACGGCAGATAAAATTGCAAGGGGTTGGACCTCGGGGCGGAGCCTCTCCGTAAAATAATTTGTTGAGGCCCCCCTCCCCCTCCCCCGGGGGCAAGATGCTTCCAGCTGGTATTGATATTCTCGGCTTGCACTGTCACGCAATGAAAAATAAAAATGCAAACCATTCAATACAGAAGGACTAGAATCTGGGAAATGAAAAAAAATAAAGAATTCTTCGCTTGAGGAACTCATAAAGATTACAGTAATAAAGACATGATCCCAAAATCGGGATTATATAAATTTAATTAAAACGAAGAACTCTTTGATTATTCATATGAATCAGAGGAAGGCAAACGAAACAAGATGATGGTTGATCCAAGGGGATTATATAAATTTAATTAAAACGTGATTATTCATATGAATAGGCAAAGAAACGGTTACTAAGTTGTAAAAAAAACATTCCAAGCCCCCCATAACAACCAAAGCTCCCATTTCTTCCAATGATGTCGCGTCGTCACGTCTCACTTCAGAGGGAAAATTCATTTTTCATGAGTTTAAAAATGGATCGCACACGTTCACAGTAGAAGTGGGATAATTTCAAATAGGGATAAAGTTTTAATGTTCAAGAAGCCTGGTATTGCTTTTTAAAGCAATACCAGGCTTTTAAAAAACGTTTGGTGCCCGATATAAGTGAATAACATTGGCAATGTTTCACGAAGCTACCACTCTATTCCAAAATTGCACGTTTATTCGTGTCCACCTACTTCTGTTTCTGAAAAGGCTACCCGAAAATCCGCCGGGTAATTCCAGAAAGGTAATAACCAATGAATTTAATGACCGCCGCAAGATAGAAAACACGCTAATAAAACGTGCTTTGAGCAGAGTGCTATTCGAAATCACGTCCGCATAGTTCAAGTTTGCTTTCAGTTAAGCAAAATAACAATAATACATCAATCAACCTGGATATTGGACGGAAAAACTGTCAAGAACCATCTTGTTTCAAGTACATGGGTGAATCCCCTATGGGGGCTTAACAAATTTTGCTGACCAGTAGAAAATATAATTATTACTAATGCAAAATCCCCGGCGTATCACATCAAACATTCAGTTTTTGAACTAACCGAAAGAGTTCGAACGGCCATCGAACGAAATCGAACCCGAGTCTGAGACATAATGAGAAACGCCTACCTAATGCAGTGAAAATAACAAAATGTAAAGGAAGTAGTTTTAAAGGTTATGAAATTAAAGTTCTCATTTAAATTTTATATTGGATTTAAGCAGAGGTTATTCTGTTCACAAAAGTTTCTTACTTTTTCTAATTTTATATAATTGGCGAGCGCCGACTGTGAGAGAAGCGACCCAGCCCTACCCCCGCGTGTGCCAGGGTTTGATCAATCCCCCGCGATTGTTACAGTCAATTCGCTCGCTGGGATAAAAGCCTGTGAGCAGGCTAATTAGAATTCTGCAGTTATCGTACCTTGTGGACATTTAGATTTCTGTTTGAATTCCAATTTTTTTCATTGCATTACACCTTACCATGTTTAAGAACATAGCTTATTTACAAGTCGTAAATCTTTTTCAATTTCGTACATCACGAAAGAAAAAAAATTAATGACGCAAAATTTAAATATTGTCATGTTTCCTTCGTTGCACTCTTTTTTTTAACAAGAATGTAGTTTATAAGAATATAGAGGCTGAAATTTGCCAAATTTTAAGAATATCTTAAGAATATACCATAGGTTGAGACTGAGGATATAATTTTGTGTGTTGAAATCTGTAAATACAATACTAATAATATTTTTTTAACTTAATTAATCCTTTCTCTAAACGGCAAAACCAGCCAACAAAACGAAATAACCTGCACTAAATATAATTCATGCCCCAATATATTCTAAAACGGAAATGTCATAAGCTATAATTTAAGAGTGATACACGAGAATATTTTCAGCCTAAAATCGGCAGAAAAATAAGAATACTCGTACTCAGCCTGGGCAGGATAAACAACATTCTTATTAAAAAAAGAGTGTATTAAACTGGATAGAAGAAGCGGCGATGCTTTCTTTGACCGCAAATATTATTGTGGTTTTTTCTTTAATGTTCATAAATTAAGAGAACAAAAACAACTATAGCGATGATGTTGTCATGTTGCCATCGTTTATCTGACAAAGTGAAGACTGGATCATTTTTGATTGATTTAGCGGCCATGGGTCGACATGGGAGTGATTCCTGATTACTTTACCTGACTAAAACAAGCTCCCATTAAATCGACTTAAGGTGATTTTTCACAAGAAAAAAAACATAAAAACATAAATATTTCCGCCTGTCTTTATTAGAAGAACTACTCCACTCGAGCCAGTTGGATATAACATTAATGTATCAATTTTATTTCAAACGGAGGCATGTGGTAAAGAAAAAAAACACGTACGTACTTCTGTATTGAACCCACTAAACTAAGATAAGGCTGTTTTAGTTCAAAGGGCCAGAAGGATAAAAAATAAGTGAAAATGTTATTAGAAAAGCAAATGTACCACTGTTCATGCGTGGGTCTGTGTATCGGTAAGGTGGCAAACTTGCTACTATTGAAAGCTGGCTAAATATTAAGGAAAATAGACAAAATGGACAGCTTTTGATTTACGGAGCTCACACCACTATTTTTGACCTTTTTAACAATTGCGCTTGAAAATGAAATACAATTTTCCGATCAATTCAGTAACAATTTAACGCAAACATTTATAGTATTCTGAATGTCTCATTCCAACCTTGCTGTTTAAAGTTTCGAGCAAAATGGGCAATGTTTTGATCCTTCAACACACTGAGAAAAGCCTGCAGTCGTTAAATTGAAATTCGAATAATTTTATCTAGATGGTAAATGTCTTGTACATGTTTTCGCTGGCACTTTCTTGTTTTAGAGCGCCGATAGAACATCATAGCTCACATTGAAAAAGTTTACCATATAACCTATTTTAAGCCACATTACAAATATGACACATTTACTGACTACTGGTTCATAACTATTGTACAGCGTTCTAAGATTTTCTTTTTAATCCCAAGCAATAACAGTTACTTTATTTGGACAGCTAGAATGTCATGTCAAAGAAAAATCAATATTTAAGAACTTGTCAAAAAACAAAATTAAATATAAGGGTTTCTGTTTTGAAAAATTCAGTTGATATAAATTCAGAAATATAAATGGTCACGTTTCCAGCTTATCCTGTAAAGAATTTGTATCGACCGAGTGGCTGATGTTGCCATGCAAACATAAACAAAAATAGGCCTTATCAAACAAAAATTGCTTTCGGAAACACGTCATTGGATTGCTGTGGGCGGTTTAGTAAACCCACTTTTAGCGTCATCAAGTTACCGGGAAATTATCACCTGATTAAATCTCATATAAACAGCATCAAATTCAAAATAAAGTACAACCGGACAGAAACAACGAACGAAAAATTTGAAATATTATTGATATGGTTAGAGGCTAGACGTAAGTATTGGTAGTTCATAGTTTCAAATCAGTGTTGCTTTCTTGCGAGTTTCTCTTAAAACTACGATTGAAAAGTGACTAAAGGTAACGACCTTTTTTAAGTCTGAACAAGATTAGAGAGATGGGGATTGGCATGGTTGTAATGTTGTTTTGATCAGAGATTTGAAAACAGCTTTGTCGCTGAGAAGCGTTTTTCACTTATTCTACTAAAAAGCTGATTACAAAAGACAACCATTCATTTTTTCACTTTACTTTTGATAAAAAAAGGGGAAAACTGTTTTAAATTTCAAGTGCTCAGTAGGTGTTAGTAGTTCATTCCCAAAAGGAAGCTAGAGTTTGCGAAATTAGAGAAAAAAATCGGAAAACCCAACAGCAAGAAAAAATGAGCTGGTGAAAACTCTACACTGTAAGGGACGCTTATTAGCCTCTAAAAATCGTTTTAAATTACTGACAGAATTCAGGCTGTTTAGGTTTCTTGTTTTCGCAAAAATGTTTAAAATGTTCCGTCTTAATTACTAACAAACGAAAAAAGCGAACAATAAAACCTTAAATCTTAAAAGTCTTGGGAAATAAGCAAGTTATTGCGCACAATCACAATTAAAGTCAAACATCTTTCAGGTCTTGTACAAGACAATATAACAATTCAAGGATAACAATGTATTCTCTCTCAGTCCAGGTTAGCAAGATGAAGCGAATGAGAAATAAGAAGAAACAAGACGAAAAAGAAACTGACATGATGTTAGCATTCAGATTGTTCGACGTCAACCAAAAGGGGTACATCGAGTCAGCGGATCTACGCTACATTATACTAAATATGGACAATAGAATACCACGTGATGAGTTGAAGGAATTGATTACAAGCGCCAAGCTTGACCAAGATAGAAGAGTGACCTATGAAGGTAAGCAATTAAGCATTTAATTCATCGTGTTAGCATTTAAAAATTCTCGTCTTTGAAACAGAACATCTTCTTGAAATATTAAAGCAATCGAAACTTTGCAAGAGGGCGGTTCAACAGAGAGGACAGTTACTAAATCATCGCCCCAACAACTTTAAAATACTGTCAGCGGAAACCTCTCAAGAGACAATTTTTTCTGATCCAAGCGTCCACTAACTGTAGCTAGCGTAGTTTCTGTGATAATACAGCAAAGTTTTAAAATTCTTTGTACGTATGACATCAGGATCGTGTTTAATATAAACATACTCCGATTAAGAAACAGAACTGAGACATCAATTAATAACTATGTGACATTTGACTGACATTATGTTTGTTTTGCAGAATTTCTTGCTCTTTTCGAGTCACTTGAGGAGGAATGACAAGGAATCAAGGAAAAGTGTCCAACCTCAACACATCACAATTTGTATCCAGGCCCATTTACAGTGTACAGAAATACCCAATCAGAATGTCGCTGCAGAATACCACAACAAAAACCAAACAACACGTGTTACGTGAGCCACGAAACCACGCGGACAGTTTTTGAACTGGCTGGCATTAGACAGCATTGATATATTTCATATAAAATCAAAATTATTTTTGGTATGGAATGTAAAAAACCATTTTATTGGAACCCAGCTACCTGAATTTGTAAAAATTCAAGTTCGAATGTTTAAATAAAATATGTGAATATTCAAATAGAAAGCGAATGATTTTGAAAGAACAATCACCCCGCAAGGAAATCCCCTTCGAGAAAATCACGTTTTAAACACTTTTAAAAATGTTTCCGAAAATGTTCCCTTTTTTCAAAGTTATAGTATTCAGCATCAGGTTTTTTGTTGACTTTTGCTGCAATTAGGGACATAAAAAATGAGATTTTCATTCAGTTTCAAACCAAGAAACGCTTACTGAAGCAACTTGGCTTCTTTAGTTTGTAATTTACAAAAATGACGCTTTCTTTCCTGTCAGGACTCTGCGGAAAATGAAGCATTTTAAGATTACTGAGACAGTTTTTCGGCTCGTTTTCATCCCTTTTCCTCGGGTTGAATGTTGCGCCCCTTACGGACAAAGTTCATAAATTATCAAATAAGGGAGTGCAATTAAAGATTTGAGCGAACTCCATAGCAGATAAATTATTAAGTGTAACAATGCAGAGGTCAGTTTAGCCTATTAAATATATCAAGGGGTGGACGTACAGGAAGATAGCAAAATTCATACTGGAGAATGAGTCATTAAAACTGAAAAAACTCGTAAAAAGTAAAGTTTAGTTTACAATAATGAGGAGCAAATTTGGTTTCTTTTTGTTGTCGCTTAAAAAATAATACACTATGTTTTTTATTGCTGTCAATGATAAGCCACAGTACGAATGTTACACTTATATTTATCATCAGTAAAACTGCGCCTTGAATAACTTCTTATTAACATCAAAGAACTTCCTGTTTTGCAAGTTAAGAATAATAACGAAGGCATTTATTGCCTAGTTTTCAGTGAATATTTTCATTAAAATCTCGTTATAACGAGAGACCCGGTTCTACCTACGTGTCTATCAAGTCTCGGCAGGTCTGTAATTTGACTTATTGCTGCGATAAATAACATTATCCCTCTTCTTAAATATGCAACTGGCATAGCTAGAAGCCAGCTGCGTTCTTAAGGAGGTCTGATATTTACGTAATTCTCCGTGAAGAAGAAGTTTGACCAGGGACTTCAAACTACAAGTACTCTTCAATAAGCCGGTATGAAGCATTTTTTATAAGAAATTTCTATTTCATAAGCACTGACATTGAAAGTATCTTTAAATATTTTGTTACACTAGGTCTTGTTTTTGCATATCAAATTTACGGTGGGGATACAAGACATTAGCATGATGTAAATTCGCAATTTTTAAGCTCCCAACAGTACAACTTTCTTGCAGTAATACGGATATTAACAGAACAATGAATTGAGCATTTCAGAACAAACATGACTTTTATCTTGACTTGATAACCAATTCAAATAAAACAGCAAATTTGTAATATACTTTGCAACAAAAAAATATGTTGATTCACGCAAACTAAGACCAAAAAGAGATATTTTGTCATCAGAGGAAGGCTCCTATTAACCTACCCGTCTCTAAATCTTATATGTAATTTTGAAATCATCCTCTGAGCTTTAAAAACGTAATGAACGCAGCACACGTTCACTAACAGGAACCAATAGACCTGTTTTCATATGTCCAAGTAATTTACATGATTCTTGTACATAAAAAAGCATAAACACGTTATAAAAAAGAAAGAAAACCTTTATGGGGGTCATAAATATTTAGGACATTTCTGAAAAACTTGAAATAAGTCTGTTTTTCTCAGAAGCAAAAGAAGATTTCGTGTTTTAATACATTCATAAAAACCACGTTCGTTTAAAATTTAACGATGTTGGTGCACCAAAGGACACAACTTAAAATCCCTGCCCTGATCTCAGAAATCAGAAAATGTGACTTTTTAAGTACTGGCTCGTCCAGCGGAAGTTTTTCGCACTGATTATTAGATCTAATTGCCAGTTTTGGGGTTCAAAACTACTTGTGGAAAAGTAACAAATGCAAATATTTTGAAAGTAACCCATGTCGCTGAAATAACCACCAGCTGATGCTAGTCGACATGAAAACTTCTTTATTTTTTACTGGCATTTTATTATTAATAGTTTGGTCTCAAGGAAGTAAACATTTTGAATAAATCGAGGGACAATTTTTTTTAAAAAGATAAACTATAGTCTACCAATAGCTATGACCAGTACCAGTGCTGATAAGATTCTTTGAAAACTGAATTTTTTTATGTTATGTTGTTTTATATTCATATGTGCTTCACGATGAGGTTATTGAAATCTAAGCTTAATACAATTTGTTTTGTGCGCGTTACTGAGGTACGGTTTTGCTGATAAAGGTGACAGAAATAACTTTTCTACCCAAAGTCAAATACGACCTGCCTATAAATTGCTTTTTATTCATCCACAACGTTTTTCGTTCGACATTGAACAACGCTTGATACATTTCTAACGAACCAGGTAATGATCATTATCAGAGTTATAATAACAGGATGTTTATAATAACAATAATAATAATAATAATAACAGGAACAAACACAGCTCATCTTTCAATGCTTCATTGGTAATTTAATTTTGGTAGAAAATCAACCTCAACGATATGAGTTCTGTGTTTGTCTCAAAATGTTTGACAGACTGACCCTTGAACGTTTAATAATTGTAAGGTTGGTCTGCATGTATTCCTGCTTAACAATCTGTTAATTTTAGTCATTGGGAGATAATTTCTCTGGAAAAATATTTACACTAAAATTTGGTTCCCAGCTCAACTAAGCAAATAAGATAAATTGGCCATTCATCCCATGTCTAGACTAACTTTTTTTTTTATTACATTCGATTTTATTCGAGAAAAATAAGCAATTTCACGATTATTCTTGACTAGTAGTCTTTTGGCGAGCCCTGTGATTGGTTTAAAATCTTCGCCTCATGTTCCCAGCCAACAATGAAAAACTAAAGAACCAAATAGTACTGAATATCGTGGAGCTTAACTGACGTTATGAACAGTAACCCTTGAAGCATATCTTTAGATACATTTATGAACACTGCGTTCCTTATTTCAATAAAACAATGAATGAACAAGCAATATCCTACAAATATATATATATATTTTAACCGATATAAAGCACATATAATAATAAAGCACGGTTTATTGCTTTCCATAAGCTGTACCCCAGCGGTCTAGTCAGTAGGAAATACTAATTTTAACACTTTAACATGACTAAACACAGCCTTTGCTTTTTCTGCGCAGTGAACTGTGAAGAACTTCAAAGTTGAAATGGCTTTCTCATTATTTGCGGCAAGATGGCTTATGTTAATTCTTCTGCTACCAATTCGTGTTTCCCTCAGGTATCTCTTACAAATAGATAGCAAGCCGATGGTTAGGCAGTTTTCTCGCCTGCTGATCCATCTTTTAAGTACTGGGAAGAAGTAGGCTTGGGAGAAAGGGAGGATCTAACATTTCCATTATTGGAAGTGGTGGGTGGGGAGGAGGGGGAACTCTTGGAAGATAAAAAACAAAGTAAGAAGGAAATTGAGAGGTGCATAGGACCGCAAGATCCACCCCTTGGGATACTTAAATGGACTCACTGTTTGGTTTTTTTTTTTGTACTAGTCCTTGAATAGTATTCTCGGCTAAAAACGTTTAGCCTTTTCCAGGTTCTTGGATAGAAGGGATGTCGCGTAAGTGAAAGGCAAGCGAACATATGAACGCGTGATCTGAGAAAAGGGGACAGTGGCGGCAAAAAGTAAGGCCGCCCTTCCTCTCCCCAGTTTCCCCTAGTGTTATTATCGTGTCAGCCTGGATTCAACTATCTCCTCGGAGCCTGGATTAGGCTAATGAAAGTTTTTAACTCTAGACGGGTCAGCAGCTTGTTCCCCTCAACATACCTTAGCAAGCAATGTAGATCGTTAAACTTGATTGGATAAGTAATACTTGGATGACGTTTTTGATACAAATAAGGCTCAATTTTATATTCTGGGCCAGATAATCCAATACCTATTACGGATAAATATACAAAAAATAAATGAAAACAAAAATTAAACAAATAAGTAAATGACCGTCTTACCTCCCATTCACAGTTGTTGTTTTCTCATTTCAGTGAAGACGCTACAGTTCCACGTGTTGAGGCAGCTAATGCGTCCGAGATCCTGGATCGATATTTGAGATGTTACGACAACAGGACAAGACCTAATGTAACAGGTATCGATTTTTTTCAATATTTCCCGGTGAGCGTAGTCCTGGAAATAAATTGACTATTGGCGGCACTTATATCCCAGAAACGATCTTCCTTCACTTCCCGAAGTGAAACCAATATTGGGAAAAGTTACCCCAAACTGGTACCAAATGAATACTTTCACAAGACTGAAAAACATTGTCCCAGGAAGTTCCCAATAATGGGAAAAATTCGCAACACTTTCCCATTTTGGGAATTGCAAAATGTTTCCTATGTTATTTATTGATATTGTTGCTGAAATATTTCCGGGTGAGTTTTGTCCCGAAAATAAATTGACTATTGGCGACACTCCGACGAGCTGAATATTCAAGCTAGTAAGTTTTACGATTTGATAACTACTTTAATGAGAGGTAATATAGTAGTTAACGACCTTATGTTTGCCTTGTTTTGCAGGCAATCCTGATATAATATATGTGAGCATGGCAATTAAAGCCTTCAGTGAGATCAAAGAATCGAATATGGCGAGTACTCTTCTATTTTATACTCTCTTTTATTATATTCTTCTATTTTGAGGAGGCAGCGTGGCTGAGCAGTTAGAGCGCTGGACTTGTAATTCAGAGGCCTCGAGTTGAAGCCCCGCCCTGACCGCGCTGGCTGAATATGGTGGTGGTGGTGGTGGTGGTGGTAGGAGTAGCAGTAGCTATATTAGTAGCAGTAACAGTAGCTGTATATGGTTCAGTTCGGGACGATGATTCCTTCTTTAGAATTAAAATTGTACGAGGAAATGGCCAAGCATACAGCTCTCGTACGCCAAAAAAAGTGCGTGCTGATTTAAAAAAATTGTTTTGACGTCAAAAACTGTCCTTTTATTTTCAGGAATTTCAAGTGTTTGTTTACTTTCGTCAGTATTGGACTGACAAGCGGCTGGCGCATGGAACCGAGGCCACTCTAATGTTGGGTGGCACTGATGTAAATCGCATATGGCTTCCTGATACTTACATTAACAACGCTAACGACCACGAGGTGTTCCAAGACAACCAGTTGGTGTTGATTGACAAAAACGGTCAGATCGTTTACTTCGCTTATGCCCGGATAGCGGCGGCCTGTCAGATGAAACTCGTGAAATTTCCTATGGATGTACAACAATGTCATTTGACACTGGAAAGTTGTAAGTATGAAACAAAAACAGTTGGGGGAGTTGCTGGACCGACCCGTATAATCTCCTCAGCCAGAAGCCTATGGTCAAAGTGCTTGACTTTCTCACTACCTTAGGCCAGCTATGTAGGTCTTAAAATTTCATTACACTCCTTAGTAGGGCAGCCTCCTCGAATATAGAGAGTTGAGGACAAGATTCCAAAATTCAAGTTTGACAAGTGGTGATTAAAAATTAGAGGTGCGTTCGACAGGGAAGGGGCCGCACTTTTATGTTAAGTTTTTCGCCAAAAAAGGGTTTGTATATAGCCCGAAGACAATACTAAATTGGAATTATTAGGGCTTTGTATGTATACGAAAAAATCACCTGCATTTAATTGAATTTGCTAGAATGTATGCTCAGTTTGGTCAACCACCCAGCAATTTACCCAAAATTTTTAACCCAGGTGAACAGTCACAAAATGAGCTGATGGTGTGACCGTGTGATATTCCGTAACCACGCCCTTACAACACTGCCTGTGAGAGGTTATGACATGTTAAGAATAGTTTCAACTCGTCTCAACATCGCCACAACATTTCCTTTTGTTCCCAAAATGTTTAAGCCATTTGAAACACCCCCGCTTTTTTACTCGCGCATGCGCGGCGCCTTTACCTTTTCTATGTTGTGCGCATGTTATGATCATGTGGCCACTGCTTCATCGCTGCTTTACCAGTTTATTTTATCCTTTTGTCTCAGTCCAGCACACCATTGTCCAGATGGACTTCAGGTGGAAAGAGGATCATCCTATCACATTGCTTAACAAGGAGTTAGCCGAATTCGACGTAGTGAAAGTGGAAATGAAGTCAAAAAATGTTACCTATATTTCAGGTTGGTCAAGTCAAAGTAATACTTAAAATCCTCTCTATGCTAACCACCAGAGAGAATTGTCCGTTATACACACTCAGTTTGATGCAACGAACGTGATCAGATTGCGCTCTACGCATTTCATTCATTATTAGTTGAAGTCCAAACGAATGCTGGCTGCCCCGCATACAAATAGCAACCTGGAGATTAGGATTGCGGGCTCCTCTCGTCGCCCGCTTATATGACGTCCCTTAAAAGTTTTGTAAATACGTCAGTGGCTGCACTATTCAGTGTTCCATTTTATGTTTTCTTTCAGGAAAATATAAAAACCTGGTAGCTGCCTTTACATTTCACCGTCGCATGGGTTTCTACTTCATTCAATTTTATATTCCCTGCATTGTGATGGTTTCTCTAAGCTGGATCTCTTTTTGGATGGATCAATACTGCATCGGAGAACGACTTTCGCTCGGGATAACGACAATTCTCACGATAGTTTTCCTACTTGGCTCCAGTAACTCGACCATGCCTCGTGTGAGCTATGCCAAAGCAATTGACTGGTATCTGATGGGTTCATTCATCTTTGTTTTTTCTACTCTTGTTACTGATTTGTTAATCTACAGGCTTCGCTCCAAAGAAGAGGAGAAAGAAAAGGACAGGGAGGAAGAAATGAAGGTAAGAAGTGGAAGGCAGAAGTTTGCATATTCAAGACCTTAGTTTGAGTTAAGTTCGGAAAATTTCCTAAAATAAAAGAGGATCGATTTGGAGGTTCAGCTTCCACAACCTGGCAGCTGGATACCATTCAGGGTATTTCAGCAACCAATAAGATGATAACTCAGTATCTTGAGTCAGTTGATAAGATGAAAATGGAAGGATACAGACTGACATTTCATTTCTTGCATGGAGCCCTCATCAAAAATGTTTTTAGATGAACTAAAATGCAAAGAATGTACGTCTCGATGAATCCATGATGAATCATGTAATAACCAAAAATCCTTCACGTTTACAAAAATCCCCTGCAAATTTTCGAGTACGTTACGGCCGCGTTTTTAACACTTGCATGACATGGTCTGGCATGTTGGGTAGTTTGGCAGGTTATAGAAGGTTCGGTTATTCTCTGCTTCAAATTTGGATTCAATCTTTCTCTGCTAACCATATTTTTAGCTTGATGAAGCAATCATACTTTTAACCGACGTGTCTTCTTTTCCTAGCCTCAAAACAACAAAATAGTGTTCCAGTGTAAACATGGCTTCAAACCCAACTACATAGCAGATTCCAATGGACATGTTCATTTGGTGACTTATCAAGAAAACAGGGATGAAGAGAGTGCAGGGTATTTTGAGTCCTGTTTGGCTGGAACCCAGTCCTCTAGCGGTCAAAAAACTGATCTAGGCAAGCTAACCAACAAGTGCTGTCGTTACCTGTATCCAATATCCTTTGCCATATTCAACTTGGGTTATTGGTTGGCTCTTAGTGCTTAAAATAGTGGAGAAAGAGGTTGGTTTACTGCAAAAGCTTGGAAGACGGGAAAAAGTTTACTCGGCATTACTTGGTTGACAAAAAGTGTCACAAACTTTGCCTCCGTTAGCTCTGGTGAAATGACGTGGTTGTCAGTTGTTACGGCTAGATGAAACCTAATTCATCACCCATCACAGCAAGTTAAAAGTCTCCTCAAGATTATTACAAACGAGACAACTGTTGACAATAATTTGCTTTAGACAAAATTGTGAACAATTAGATATTACAAACAGTGATTGCCAGAACCTTTGTAAAGGTCGGTACACACTAGGCGACAAGTTGCTGCAACACGTCGCGGCGACAGATCACTCCGTGTGTACAGGTCGGGCGACTAGTTGCAGCAACAAGGTGAGGCGACACGTCGCAGCGACAAATCGCTTCGTGTGTACTGGAGAATTTTTGTGAAAATCTTTGTCTCCGCAACAGAATTTTGTCGCTGCAACAAGTCGCAAAAAATCAAATCAGACTGAATCTGTGCGACTTGTTGCGGCGACAAATTCTGTTGCAGCGACAAAGATTTTCACACAAATTCTCCAGTACACACGAAGCGATTTGTCGCTGCAACGTGTCGCCGCGACATGTTGCTGCAACTTGTCGCCTAGTGTGTACCGACCTTAAGAGTCAGTGCAATGGTAAGTCTAACTTAGAAGACCTTAAAGTAATATAAAACGGCATTGAGTCCTTCAAGAATTTTTCCTGGGAAAACATCATTACTTTAAACATGTATAGCCCATGAAGTAAGCAAGAAAATTAAGTTACTCATTTTAACTGTCAAAAAAAGGAAGTCAGTTACCTGTATTTGTAATTTATGCGCAGTTTTTAATCAGCATTACATTACACAATATACAGAATATAATCAGTTACATCGCTGACACGCGACTTAGGAGTACCTATTAAGATAGGTGACTCTATCTTTCGATAAACATTCTAATTCGGTTCTAATTGACTACATGTGATATAAACTTGACAGATTTTAAACATTTTACTGAATCTATGAAACCCGGCTGGTACATCTAGTGCCGATCACAGAGATAAAGGTATTGTAGCAATTTGAAAGTTCTTTTTGGTATTTTTTTATGCACGGTACTGTAATAAGGATGATCAAATGAAATTTCAACTTTCCCCGTTTTGAGAGCACATTCGAGGAGGACTACGTAAAAAACGTTATATAATCATTCAACCCTGTAAAAATTTAGAAAATGGTCAGTGTGGGAGAAAGAGGTCTTTCACACATGAAAATCGTGCGTTATAGGCCGTTCAAAAACACCGTAATCATCGAATCAGTTTTCAAATTTTCGCACAGAGCACGAAGTTTGAATCAGATTAAATTTTGATAAAGTGGTAAGATTAATCCCTAATACCGTGCATAGAAACCCAGGGGCAACTCCTACATAATAGGTATGGGGATTCTCGTTCGAATATTAGTGAAGAATTAATCCTCTAGAGGAGACTAAACGGGGCGTGGCTGAGGTTTTATTTGACCCCTATCCGGCCTAAGAGAGACCATACAAAGACAGACAACGAAATAACTAATTTAAATTGCGTTTGTTACTTTTACATCGACAGTTCTTTACACAAAGCCCTGAGCGATACCTGTATGGATATAACATAGCCCGCTTTCCTGCGTTAGTGAGACAATCTGGGATGTACCCTTAGTAGGGACATCTGCTAAATCTGCAATTTTCAGACTAAGCGAGACGAGAAGCATACCCGTTCTCTTCATTTTGGAGCCTGCTTCACGGCAATAGAATATTCAGGGCACGAAGTGAACGGTAAAATAGGTATTGTGGCCAGTTAGCGTAGAGCGAGAAAAGGTGCATTAATTGAAGAAAGGATAGCTTACTTAAGAGCGGGGTTGGGGCTTATTTTTAAGTACACGAGAGTTTTTTTAATTTCTCATCAAACTACATCTGCCCAGCGGAATTACTGATTAGATCGATAATACTTGTAAATATAATCTTTAGCTGCAAAGTTGTTTAGAAACCAGTATATTTCTTTTGTTACTCTACGAATAAAACAACTGGTTACTGCTTAGCGTAAAAATTCTTAATTTTACCTATGATAATTACTGATATATTTATATACGTCGCATCCGGCGAGACAAACCTATTTTGAATTTCAGGCCGATTGCTGGATAGCTGGATATCAAAACACGTTAGAAAGTTGGTATGTTTTGTGGCGTTTTAATGACCTAAAAAGTGGTATTGAATGAAACTGTTTTCAGGACCATAGTGTGTTCATTTAGGAATAATGTTTCACTTTGAGTAACTGTCCTGAAAAAAGTAAAACCTTTTTATTTCCAGCCACTGTCTAATATCATGCGAACTTAATTCCACTTATTCTATTTTCAAATTCGACTTAAATTAAATGTCCGAGAAAACTAGATGTCCATTACAGTCAGTATCCAGTGAAATTAAGCGCGTGGCTACGAAATTTCCAAATCACCATCGGAGGAACAAGAACAGCTTAAAGTTTTGCGCTACAGCTGTTCAGTTTCTCGTGAACTTTGTGATTCAGTCGTCAATACCTATTCCAGAGGGAAAATTGAAAATAATTGTCGAAGCCTAAGGTTTTTAAACATAATCCTTTCAAAATCTAGTAGGTCCCTTGGAAAACCCGTAATATCCTTGGGCACGGAGGTAACATAAGTCGTAATCGATTTTCAAAATAATGAGTGTCAAAGGTGACCGGCGGTCCGGAGGCCCCTGGGAAATTTTTTGACTTTAACTTTCAAAAGTCCTCTTTTCTGGGATTTTTAGTTAGACATGATATTGGCTATTCCATTCTTTGCAAAATTTACAACTTGAAAATTCAATTTCATGAAACATCTGACCAATTTTCGTAAAACGGAGGAAACCGGTATAGATCATGATTACTTGAAACGTTCCAATGGAGTTACGAAATCTCCACCTTCGAAATTTCTACTCATTTTGTAATTGAAATTTAATAAAGCAACATCGAAAGAACGAGAATTTTCTTGCGCTGCAGCTGCTGAGTTCTCTCTTTAGTGTTTAGGCAAGTGTCTCATGGCCAATCATATCACTCTTAGTGTAAAAACCATTTTATATGGAAGGAAATAGAACAAGAGTCAAAGAATTATGCGATTAAAGCTGACCATTGCTTAAAGCAACCTTAAAGCAAGCGACACACACGGACATCGACCAAAACACATATCCAGAGTTCTGTTTCGTGAAAAGGTCATTTTCATTAAAAAGAAGTGGGGAAGCCAACATTGAAGGTAAGAGCAAACATTTCAGGTTATTATTACAGGCGCAATAAACTATGACAAACTTTGTGTCATAACGTTTTCCAGTTTTGACGCGATGGCTATGAAACTTTGCGAAGAACTGCGGGTATCATTCAGCAACTATATGAAATAACCTGATTCTCTCTATATATAAGGTTTATATATAGAGAAAACCGTTTACATAAAAACCCATAAAACGGCCATAATCGGCCCGTGGACCACACAGGAGAGACGTAACACACATTTTAAGTAAGGTAAGCTGTTTTTTATTGAAGTCCTTTCATTTTCGTAGGTTACAGAAACGATAGTTTTTTTTCCCCATACAAATCCTTATATTTTGAATGTTACGCAACAATGCCGATGCTCGCCGATGCTCATATTTCTAGCTTGGGCTACCTGTGATTTTACTGATATTTTTGACTGAAACTACAGGTGTCAGCTTTTGTTGATATCAAAAGTAAGCCAAATCAATTTCACAAGCATCGTGAGAGCAGAAGTCCGTAACGAGAAAATCATTCACAATTCATCTGTGAAATTGTTTTGGAATTTTGAAAACGAAATGTTCGGAGGCAGAAGAAGCCACCAATTCGAATTTTCGGGACAAGTATTTCCAGAGCCTGCTAACCGTGGAAACCAAGCAAAAATAGAATGTCAATGGTGATAGTGGTGGAGGGAAAACTATAGAAATGCTGTGGTGTGGCTGGTGGTGGTGGAGAAGGGAAAACAGAGGGAGGGGAAAAGAAACGGTTTTTCGCGTTGCTAGGTGATCGTTCCTCTTATTCGTACCTTTTTATAGTCGTTGAGAGTTTCATTTTTCACCGAACGAAAGACACTTAAGTTCTGAAACGTCAAATTTGGTTAAAACTCGTGAATTTAAGGAATCAAGAATCCAGAACACACTATCCTTTAGGACCTTTTCTGCAATTTTATCAAGCGATAAGTAGCATGATATTATAATTGATAAATCAGTCAAATTTTGATAACAAATAACTTAGAAAAATTCTGATCAGACAGGTAGGAAGGCCTTAGTATTGTGACTGGCGAAACTTTCTGGAATACGAAGGGTTAGATGCAAATGGAAATCGAAACATGAGCAACAACAACTGACTTCTCCGAATTCCTTATTGAGTGAATGACAAAGTTTGAGCAAGCTGGAGAATATTGCTTCCACAAAACACTTCCTAAAACAGCTTTTCTGAGGATGATATTTTCCCTGATAAATGATAATACATTCAAGGAAATAATTAGTTTCCTTTTATGAGTGTTGTGTTTACATGAACAATACTTTCATCATCAATTGAAAATAATCTTTCTTTTAAAAATTACCCAGCCGCTGCCGTTTCGACTTTCTCTCAGCTTTTATTTTTTCGCAACTTGTATTTGTAAACCAATGCAGCAAAATTCGGCGGTGCCATTTTTTCGGTAAAATTAAAACCTTTGCCATCTGATGACGTTACATCAGGAAGAGAATTCTACTCGTTGTATCAACTTTTCGCAGTTTAAGACAATGCGATCACAAGAAAGTTGTAAAGAAAATTTTAAGTTTGTTTAATACGATTTTATCATTTGGGACGAAGCCATTTCTCGTGATCCTAGTTAGTTTCGGCACTTTAAAACAACACGGTTTACTAGCTCACAAGATGTTTATTTCCTGAAGTAAAAGACCCTATCGCCTGCTCGTCCCGCAGGGTCTGTTACATAGGTAAATCAGAGGATATGCTTTACAAGAACACCTTAGCACATTCTCGCGATAGACAGCGCAAATATTGCCACCTAAACTGAGCTTCGTCATAGCACTTTCTATCACTCTTCAATCCTTGGTGTACTTTTAACATCCTCGCCTCTCGATACCAAAGAATTTTACCAAAATACCAGAAGGGAAAACACTAGTGTGCTAGACATGGATGGGAACTGGAATTTCTTACCATTTAATTTGTTACTGGAATTGTCTACTACATGAGAACAAGGCAGGCTGTAATGAACTTAGGACTCAAAGCAAGCGGTGAAATTTTTAATCTTACGGTAGAATCCCGATTTTTCGAAAACTCGATTTTCCGAAACTCCCCTTTTTTCGAACTAATCCTACTTCCTTTCAAAAATTTGAAATTCAAAAATTTAGTAACCAACAAAACCGGCTTTTAGCCAGAAGCATGCAACAAGTCCAGGAAGGTGTTTCTCCTTTAACCGCACAAGGATTAGCTCAGTCGGTAGAGCACAAGACTGCAGAGCGGGAGGTCGTGGATTCAAATCCGGGGCCGGACCAATCAGTACTCAGGGTCTTAAAATAACTAAGAAATGAAGGTACTTCCTTTGCCCCGCAAACAGGTAGACCTTCGCGTGGCTCGGATGACCACGTAAGATGGCGGTCCCGTCTCCAGTAAGAGACGTAAAAAAATAGTGTCCCTAATTAACACTTTCGTGCTAAATACATCGACACTCATATAAAGTGCTTTATTCCGTGCAGTTTTTATTGCCAAGCAAGTGAATAATCCGTCATTTTTAAAAGTCACAAAGAAACTACAACGCCATTCCCCCTTTTTCAAAACCAGCCGCTCTTACTATTGTTATCTGGTTAATGACGGTTAGAAATGAAAACCGACTTATAGCTAACACCTGTGATCAGATATCTTGCTGTATCTCACCATGAAAACCCAAATTATTAGGCTTATCCTGAAATTGTCAGCTGGTAATGGTTTTAAAAGATTCACCTAGGCGAATTTCAAATGGAGTACTCAACCTAAGCTTATGGTGTTTATGAACTGACCCAAGTTGGTCATCTCCGTGACCGTAGGATCCACTACCGTCATATAAGCATCAACAGTCTATCCACCCACTTTTACATCAACAGATTCTGGGGTGAACCCACCTATTTTTAAATCAAGCCGGCTTTTACCTTCATTCGTGACAAAATTTCTTCTTTTCCCTATAGTACTACCACCGACTATATGGAGTACTCAACACAAGGTTATCGTGCTTTTTGTACCATACTAAAATGGAACCCGAGCTGGTCATCCACCATAGGATCCACTACTGTTATAAGCATCACCAGTCCTTTGGCTATTCTGCTGAATGCAATTTTGATTGTTGCCGTCCTGAAGAAAAAGAAGCTTCAGAGCATCTGTAATATCCTAGTGGCCAGTATGGCAGCTTCCGACCTTCTCATTGGTGCAGTGGCCCAGCCTCTGTTTCTGAGCGCAGGGTTGTATCGCTTGCAGGGCGATTATGAGAAAATGTGTACCATTATCCTAGCAGGCTTCTTTTCGATGTACCTACAAAGTGCTTCCATCTATCACCTGACTTTCATAACCTTGGAGAGGTACATTGCAATCGCCAAGGGTTTGAATTACAAGTTCATTATCACTAGAAGCCGCCTAAAAGCCTGTATTACAGTCATTTGGTTTTTTACTGTCCTTTCAATTGTTCCATCCGGCGTGTACATATCTGGCCTCATCGGGAAAGAGACTAGGAACGTCGCTAACGCGTGCCTTTTTACAGTTCCGCTGTCCATTTGTTTACTGGCTACAGTAACCTTTTACTTCAAAATTTATCTCAAGACCCGCCAGAGTAAAGTAAATAAAACAACCTTCATAAGTTTCCAGGTCGCAAGAGCTATTTTGCAAAAGAAGATCGCCAAGACTGCATTCCTTTTGACAGTATGTCTATTGGTCTTCTTCGTGCCCACCTTTGTGTTTATCTTTCTCACCTATCTATTTCGTTATAACCACAGAGATATGTATCTTTGGTCTGTCATCTTAATCCAGTTGAATTCCTGCGCGAGCCCAATCTTGTACTTCTACAGAAATCGCCGATTTAGAAACACTGTTCTACAGATGCTAAACATCAAGAAATCTGAAACAAATGCGATTGCACCCAGAGCAGGAAGGAAAGAGATGCTAGCGAAGAGCAAAAACGACAATGAAGCCGCCGCCTCGCCAAACCACATTGGTCCCCAGCTGCAGATTCCTATCATCGGCAAACAGGAAACAGCAAAACCTGACACGCGCGGAGAATCCATGACTGGAGAAATGAAGGGGATAAAGGAACCAAGGACAGCATGGAAGCACCCCAAGAATTTCACCACGCCCAAGAAGAAAGTCAATTGTTTTGACGACGTTAAGGGCCATTCCCAGGCACATGAATTGAGGGAAAGGGAGTCCATGGCAGCGAAGACTGGAACTCAGCGCTTGACCCAGCAGAATGACCACTTATCTCCAAACGAAATAACTGGAGAGAAAAAAGTCAGCTCTCTTTATCAAGACACAGGTGGCCCAGGAACATAAAAAAGATGTCAAAAAATTGTCAGCACAGGTGAATTGCGAATGTCACTTCCTTTTTTGGAATTTACGCAGATGAGAGAGAGGATAAAAAGAGCCACCCAGACCTTGCATGAACAGTAAAATGTCAAAGTAAAATTCATTTGATTTTAAATTGACAACCTAACCTTCGTTGCCCCTTAATAACAGCGACAACTCAATTGTAATCAAAACAAATGAAGAGGCTTATCTCGAGCGTGTTCTTTTGGTCGTGATTGCCCGATTACGCCTGCTGACAACGGTAGGAGAACAGTCTTCAAATATATACCATTTCTAGTCGTAGCGGGACACTTGGACAAGACAAGCTGAGCTGAGTATGCAGCATAAAACCTAGACGAGGCGCGTTTCCTAACACTAGCTACGGCTCTTAATCTTTAAGTTTGAATCAGATTATTGCACATCAAAGCTACACTAGTAAAAAAAGGACCAAAGGTTAGGAATGCGGACAAGATCAATGCAAATGCTCTTGCTCCAATGTTGTGCTTTGGTTAATTTCACGTGATAGATGGTCAAAACGCACGTGATTATATTACCAGTAATAGAAGGTCCAAACGCCCGTGATCAGACTGCGTTCTATGAATTCCACTCACTATTACCGTATTTCCTCGAATAATAGCTGTCCTTCGATTAATAGCCTCCCTCCAATAACCGCCCTCTTTTGAAGGAAATATTTCAAATAATCGCCTCCGTCAAACAGTAAAAACGCACGCTCTTTGTTACGTTACGTTCTGATTTATAACTTAAAAGTATCTTTCAATTTTCACTTAACATAAAATTTGATTAAAATGTTCACTGTACAGTAAAAACTGTTTTTTACCCTACTTCCGGGTATTTTCTTCCAGCTCCCGATAACTCGAACTTTTTTCGATTTCCCTTGAAGGTTCGAGTTATCGGGAGTCGACTGTATTGCCCCAGCGAATTGTTAGAGTTGGATTTATATTTTAAACAGTTGGCTCTCAGTAGAACTCCCCCTGTATATACATATGAAAACAGCAGTTTTACCTAAGGAAGGGCTTTGATTTATTCTCACTGAATAAATGAATACCAGTGAAAAACGTAGTGGCCACTGATTCATACACTCTGAGCCCAAATTAATTAGTAAATGCCATAAGAGGAGGCCTTTATTACAACTTGTATCATATGGTCTCTTGCATATAAGAATAGCATTTTACCTTTGAGCCTGGACAAAATGTAACTTTAAGAGCTCTTTAATGATACCTACATTTTCCGCAAGATTCGAGTATTTAAATCGGGGGGCAAATTTGTGCTACATTTTGCCAAGAAAACCAAGAATTGATTAGAAATACAAATATGGGATATGAGATTACCGATTACTTTCCCTCCCTATTCTTTATGGGGAATTGATAACATCTTGTTCGCTAGATTAAGTAAGCCTCCCTCTCAAATAAACCCCCTCCCCTCCCCTCGACGTGCTTGAAATAAAGACATCAATATAGTGAGTTTGCAATATTGGGATTAAATTGTAGTTCCACTCGTCCAAGCCCCAACCAGGCGAAAGTTCATCGAAAATCTTTTTTTTTTATATACAGCTGTTTAGTTTTTTTGAGAGACTGCGCATGTCCGTTGTGACATGTCTTCGCTCAAACGTCATGTTTCAATGGCGTTGCTTTTTGTTCTTAAAAGTCTTCCACTCGTTTTAGAATTTAAATTAGGTAAAACGTAGATCGAAAGCAAAAGAATAGGCGGTTCTTCGTTGCAGCTGATAAGTTCTTTCAAATTTTCGCGAAGGTTCTTAGGCGCGAGAAAAGCTAATTTTGTTGTGAAATGAATAGTTAAGGAACTTTTTGTCTCGCTAGTATTAAAGGCAAGTGCCTGGAAGCCAATCATATCATGCATACAGTCCTGTCCATTTTGAATTGATGGAAGTAGAACAGAGGACTCAAAGAATGTTAAAAAAAAAACAGTCTATTGAAATGGTAAGTGGGCAGGAATGTGTGCGATGAAAAAAGTACGTGGGAAGAAAACGTTTGTGGCGAAAGCAGAACACTTAAAAGAAGGATACACAGTTCAGTGTTATCAGAAGGCCTTTTCGTTCTTAGAAACCAAAACAGTTCACGTACACTGGAGGTAAGAAAAACCGTTTTACATAGTTATAGAACAGTACCGTAAAATTCCGAAAATAAGCCCCTCCATGTATAAGCCCCTCCAAATATAAGGCCCCCAAACTCGTAACGTAAAAAACTCTCCGTTAAATCGCCCCTCCAAATATAAGCCGCCCCGGTGGCTTGTACTTGAAAATTGCCCTCAAATACAAACTACAACAAAGCAAAAACGGTAAATTTCCTTCCAACTAAAAGGTTGGCGCAATCGACTTTGAAACGCAAATTTCCCTTTGTAGATAAGTCCCTCCAAAAATAAGCCCTTCAAAAAGGGCTTTTGAAAAATATAAGCCCCGGCGCTTAATTTCAGAATTTTACGGTAATTCATCGGTCTTGGAATATATGTTACTGCTAAAACTCCTCCAATAAATAAAGTAGAATTAAAAAATGAAAAGCAAATTGATTTAATATCATTGGCAAAAAAGTTTGTGGTTGAACTTTGAGAGAACTTTAGAAATACATTTGGGTTTTTCGTTTTATACTACTACATGAGAAATTTCGCCAATTTGATTGGCTTAGAGCAGTGGTACTTCAGCTTAATTTGTCGTTAAAATTACAAACTGACCTTTTGCGGGTAGAAGTATAAACAAATAATGGCATGATTTGTACATGATATTTGGCATAAATACCACTCGTGATACTTAAAAATTATCTCAAATTTCACTCGCCTAACGGCTCGTGAAATCACGCAGTATAACAATTTTGAAATATAACTCGTGGTATTTATGCCAAATATCACTACTAATCATGCTATTACCTGTATTGATAAGAGTGCGAGAACTTGAATGACGCCAGTGAATTTTTATTTGAATGTACAGAAAGCTCTCGGGGGCTCGTGAAAAGTTCGGCGTGTGAACCGGGCCTAATAAAATCGCAAAAACATCTACAACAAACGATTTAATCTTTTCTGTAAATGAATTTTTGTGAGCTTGAAGAATCTTGCTACCACAAAACTGATCCTAACACAGCTTTTCTTCGATTGATATTTCCCTGATTAATAAAATTACAGTTCGGACAGTAAATCAAAAGGCAAAAAAAGTTTCCTGTTAAAGGTGTCGTGGACTTATTTGAATACTATGACCAAATAATTGTGCCTACGTCACCGATTAAAAATACTTTTGGTTTCCGAAAATTACATGTAAGACCAGCTGCTGTTTCAAATTTGCTTCGCGACACATTTTGCCACATTTGTACCCCATAAGAGCAAAATTAGCCTGCGAATACAGCCGCTCGCCCTCGTCGCTTGTAAAGTTTCACAGGCTACAGCAAAATTCGGCGGTCTAAATCTTCAGCTGAAATTTAAAGATTGTTTAACTATAATGCTATTAAACAAAGAGAAGTTTTTTGTTGTAACATGCAACATTGTTTCGAAGTCAATGCAAAGCAATCACAAGTTTTCTCTGCACCCGTATAGTGATGAAAAGTAATAGTGATTAGATTTAATCAATCACAAGGTTGTTTTTCATCGTTTTATCATTTGAGACTGATTCTCAAAACGATACTCTTCCTTAAACGATACCGTTTCGCGAGATTTTGGAGAGCCCCACGTCCCAATCAATACACTACAAAAGAATATCACACAAAAGTCATTTATCCAAATCACCCGTGGACGTATGTAAGTTTCGGACTCCAATTCTATTCTGATTGAAGGAGTTTATTATCGAAAGTTTTTTGACGAATTACACAAAGACACGTCAGATGAATAAGGGGATTCAGTTTTAAAGAAAGTGTGGCGCTGAATTTGTTGATGGGCAAATGATTCGCCCAGACGAAGGGCAGGCGCTCGAAAAGTTCGCTTTTGAAACTCTTTACGATGGCCAATTATCTTTATCATATCAGTCGCCAAAATCAAATTTTCAAGGTATATGGCAAACAAGCTCATTTGTAAATTAACGCAAGTGATGTATCTGTCACAGTCGATTTAAAAAAGCTTAAGGTGGCTTTAAGCCTAGTTTTGCAAAATCTTCGAGAAAAGCGGGAACCCTTAAATTTGCCTGCATTCTGAAGATCTCAAGTCACTCTCAAAAACAAGTCTTACACTATCATAAAGAGCCACTTTAGATCTAACTCTGACTAGAGATTCCAGAGTGAGCCCACAGACTTAACATTAAGGCTTTTAAGTTTAATCTTGGCGAATTTATTCCTTTCCCTACAGTACTACCTCTTGACTATATGGAGTACTCAACACAAGGTTATCGTGCTTTTTGTACCATACTAAAATGGAACCCGAGTTGGTCATCTACCATAGGATCTACTACTGTTATAAGCATCACCAGTCCCTTGGCTATTCTGCTGAATGCAAGTTTGATTGTTGCCGTCCTGAAGAAAAAGAAGCTTCAGAGCATCTGTAATATCCTAGTGGCCAGTATGGCAGCTTCCGATCTTCTCATTGGCGCAGTGGCCCAACCTCTGTTTCTGAGCGCAGGGTTGTATCGCTTGCAGGGCGATTATGAGAAAATGTGTACCATTATCCTAGCCGGCTTCTTTGCGATGTACCTACAAAGTGCTTCCATCTATCAACTAACTTTCATAGCCTGGGAGAGGTACATTGCAATCGCCAAGGGTTTTAATTACAAGTTCATTGTCACTAAAAGCCGTGTTAAGGCCTGTATTATAACCAGTTGGGTTTTAACTGCCCTCTCATTTGTTCCATCTGCCCTGTATACATTAGGTATTGTTGGCAAAGAGCTCTGGGTCATCGCTGATGCAATCGTATTTACAATTCCGCTGTCCATCTGTTTACTGGCTATAGTTTACTTCTACGCGGCCATGTCTTGCTTCCAGGGAAAGGCCAAGAAAACAACCTTCTTAAGTGTCCAGGTCGCAAGAGTTACCTTGGAAAGGAAAATCACCAAAACCTCAGTCCTTTTAACCCTATGTCTCTTGGTTTTCTTTTTCCCTACTCTGGTGTTGCTTTTTGTCACATATCTAACTCGTTTTAGAGATAGAGATGCGTACCTTTGGTGTGTCATTATAATCCAGTTGAATTCCTGCGCGAGCCCAATCTTGTACTTCTACAGAAATCGCCGATTTAGAAACACTGTTCTACAGATGCTAAACATCAAGAAATCTGAAACAAACGCGATTGCATCCAGAGCAGGAAGGAAAGAGATGCTAGAGAACAACAAAAACGACAATGAAGCCGCCGCCTTATCAAACCACTTTGGTCCCCAGCTGCAGATTCCTATCATCGGCAAACAGCACACGGCAAAACCTGACACGCGCGGAGAATCCATGACTGGAGAAATGAAGGGGATAAAGGAACCAAGGACAGCATGGAAGCACCCCAAGAATTTCATCACGTCCAAGAAGAAAGTCAATTGTTTTGGCGACGTTGAGGGCCATTCCCAGACACATGAATTGAAGCAAAGAGAGTCCATGGCAGCGAAGACTGGAACTCAGCGCTTAACCCAGCAGAATGTCCACTTATCTCCAAAAGAAATAACCGGAGAGAAAAAAGTCAGCTCTCTTTATCAAGACACAAGTGGCCCAGGAACATCAAAAAGATGTCAAGAAATTGTCAGCACAGATGAGGAATCTACGCAGATGAGATCAGAACTGACGATTACTTCTGTGTAATGTACGAGACAAAATCTTTACTTTTCCGCTACTTTTCAAAATCCGAATGATTCTGTATCCATAGGATAAGTAACTATCCACATAATAAGCGATAGATTATCGTAATTGCTTTAATTGTACATCGCTATGCCTTTTAATTTAGCTAAAATATCTGGCGCCAATTTTATCCACCAATTAACAGCATGGCCACCACACAGCAAAAACCTCAAGCGCATAAAACATTTGTAGTTTTTGAGATTCTCCTTTCATTCAAATCAGTGACATATTTCGGGAATTCGTCAGAAACCTCAAGGTTCTGCATTTATCGCTTAAACAGTATTAAAACTTTACTAGAGGACATAAAATCAGATTTCCTACAATGTATACATGCAGAAATAGTAGTATAACCCAAGAGGTTTGTTAGTGTTGGATTGATCTCCTTCAATTTATTTCTATGGCAATAATAGTACAATGCCAGGGGGTTTTATTAGAATAGAATAAAATATAATTATACACTAACAGGGGGCTTTAATTAGTTCTCCTACTACGTTACTACGTACACAATGAAAATCAGTAGTATTATCCCCTGCGGTTTGTTAGGAAAACATTACAACCCCAAGGGTTTGTTAGAATAGAGTTTGCACCTTAACAGAGAGTTCTAATTAGTTCTCCTACCATGTACACCATGACAATCAGTAGTATCATCCAACTGGTTTGTTAGAAAAACATTACAACCCCAGGGGTTTGTTAGAATAGAGTTTGCACCTTAGCAGGGGGCTTAAATCAGTTATCCCACCGTGTATACCATTGAGAATGATAATAAACATTGTTTTCGTTTTAAATGAGTTATGGTCATTTATAAATGGACTTAACCTAAAGACGCCTTCACTGATGGAACAAAATATATCGGACTCAATTTATCAATTCTTTTAATTTATTTACAAAAGCTCTTTTTTATGTTTGGCCACCCTGACAAATAATTGCTTTAGCACACATACAAGCCATACAATGTGTGGGGTACCGTTAGTTTAGGGTCTTTTAGTTTTCTTCAAAGGATTTTGTTCCAAAAATGCTGCGGCTGTTCTCCTCTTTCTCTGTTGAGGCAAAACGATTGTGGGTTATCGGATTCAGTGGGGTACGAACAATGTACTGCGGAATCAATGATAACTCTGCACTATTAATACCATCTTATTGTGGGTTGAAACATGTGACCAGAAATCATTTGCCCATATTCAGCCTAGCACATGTCATTAATGTTACTTGCTCATTTTCTTTCCGGCAACTATACAAGACTGGAACCTCATTCCAATCAAGATAAGAGCTGAGAGCTACTTAAAGTTTAATTTTTATGTAAGCCAAGGTCTTAAAGCTGTTTTATTGAACTTTTCATTTTATTAATTTTTTTATTTCATTTTATTTTTCCCTTTTTGATGTGACAGCATAGTAGAACAAGCAAGTAGACGTAAGCAGAACCAAACTTTTTTTAAGGAATACGTGTCGATAAGAGTAAAGGACCTGTTTAAGTATTTACAAATTAAAAAAGCTACAATGCATAGGGAGGCTTTAAACTGCTATGTTATGCAGCATAAAGACCTAAATAGGGATATTTTAAAGGGAAGGAAGTGGTGCAGCTTTGATTGTAGCTACATCTAACTAAAGCATGTTGGCAAACAAATAGCTCAAATTTAACTTACTGCATTTGGAGTTCCTGGCGAAGGGGTTACTGCATCTATTAAAGGTGTTGAGGAGGTAGATGTGACCTGCTAAATGTAACAAAAACACTTAATAAATAAATGAGTGGGGAATCAGAGAGAGAAACTAAACTGATTGGTTAAGTCATGTCTATCATCTCATACGGTATACACTGTGAAGAATAAGTGCCAAGATTGACAATAACTTGTTGCAAAATAGCTGAGTATAAATTATTGGCTTTCAAGAGTTGAATTTCATACAGATTTTCTGTTTATGATATAGGCGTGGCCAGGGATTTTCTGCACTTTATCTGGAAAATCAACACTCAGGCAACAAACGGTTTCTTTATAAATGACCGTTTTTCATGACAACTTATTTAAATTTCAGAAAAGAACTTCTTCTCATTTTTGAAATGGCCACTGAGTTTACTGTAGCCCAAGTTTATAACAACAACAAAACTGATTGGAAAGAAAAATACTAACCACTTTAGGAACAATGGAAACAGCTTCAACAGGAACTACAAAGAAAAAGAGAAATCTGCTATCAAAGGATGAAGATAAATGTAAAGATACAAAAACCAAAGGCTACAGGGTTGAATTGAAATGAAAAATGATTTAAATTTTTTTTGTACTACAATTGTGGTGATTACTCAAGGAGAAGCTACACTGTAATAATTGTTGGAATCTAAACATCACAATTTTGCTCATGACTCAGTGGGTGCCCCAGTGACCAGTAACACCTGGCTAAAAAAGCCTTCTTTGTGACTACAGTACATCAAGTAATTTACATTCTATTAACCTGGTTCCACTAATTTCTGGCCATTTTCATGTTTCACAAAATCAATTGGCTTTAAACTGCCTACCAAAATACACAAAGCAGGACATAATTTCATTCAACCAACTGGATCAACACTGATAAATGTTAATTTACCATTTATAGTAGATATGTCTTTTCCTAAGGCTTCAAGACGATGTCTGCAGGGAAAAAGGAATTAATATTAGAGTTACAAAAATTTTATGTTGCTTTGAAAAAAGTGGCTTAGATTCTTCACAGAAGAAATAACCTTTGATGGGGATTAATTAAGAGCGATACACAATACCCCAGGAAAGTGCTTCACAAAAGCTTTGATGCAAATGGTTACACTTTGGGATTTCACCCACAGACTCAAACATTACAGCCACCGTACACAGCACAATGATAAATACCACAAGAAAGTACTGCTCGGTAGCTTTCATTTGAAAGGTCACACTCCAAGATTTCAATCAAAAAACATCTTGTGGAGCATAATAATCAGTACAGTGCCACAGGAGAGTGCTGTTGAGCTCTGAGTTTCCATTGAGAAGATTTCATCCACAGACTTCAGATTAAATGATGCAAAATTACTGTTTTTTTTCTGGCAGTAACAAAATTGTTTGCAGATTTTATGAGAATGATGGCATAGCATGTCTCAGGGTTTGAACAGAGCAGGTAAAGTAATGATACACTTACTTCAGTGACTGGATTTCAAATTCACAGTTTCCAGCTGCCTGCTTTAAGTCATAAAGCAGAATCATCTCATTCCTGGAAGCAAAAAGTGATATTTATCATCAGCAATAATAAAATCATAACTATTATCGTCATCTTTATCATTATCACCCTTTTCATCAACAGCAGCATCGAGATTCTTGTCCTTTATGAAAAATAATAAACATGTGACTGGTTTCATTCACTTTAAATTGCCTTAAAATTGTAATCTCTGTTAATGATAATGGCTATTAACTAAAAAAATAAAGAGATTGGCTGTAATAGTTTTCTCAATTTATGTTGTA